TGGGACTTGAAAAAAGATCTATTTATTTTGGGCCCAGCATGATGGCCTAGTGGCTAAATCCTTGCTTTACATCACGAGGATTCCATATGGGCATCGGTTCGTGTCCTGGCTGCTCCATTTCCCTTCCTGTTCCCTGAGAAAGCAGTAGAGGATGGCCCAGAGCCTTGGGATCTTGCACCCTCGTGGGAGACCCAGAAGAAGCTCCAGGCTCCTGGGTTTGGATTGGCTCAGCTCCGGCTGTTGTAGTCACTTGGGGAGTGAACCAATGGATGGAAGATCTTTCTCTCTGTCTCTCTGCAAACCTGCCTTTCCACCCTGTCACTTGCAAGTCAGGCAAACTGGACAACGGACGCCAGGGCTCTGAGGCAGGCTTCCTCACGGCCACAAGCTGATCAGAGCAACACCTGAAAAGGTTGGCCTGGGGATTATGAGAGCTAATCTGTCTAAGGTGTTGAATCAGAGGAGGAAATTGGTAAAATGGGAACTATTATTAGACCGGCCAGTCCATTCATTCAGTCAGTCTGTAAATATTTATTGAGTGCTCACTACCAGGATGCGTCCGGCCCAAGGTGGGTCCTAAGGACGCAGTGGGAAACTGGACATTCTTCCCAACACAGAGCTCAGAAGGCAGAGGGGTCAACTCATCAGTAAACACACTAATCATGTGGCAGCTGCGAGCAGGTGCCTTGGAGGGAGGTTGAGTGTGGTGATGGGAGCAGGTGCTCCTGTGGTCAGCAACGGCTCACTCACAAAGGGATATTTCGGCAATGGCCTGAAGGAAGTGAGGAAAGAAGCAGGCAGGAGCCAAGGAAGAAAGCAGTGAGGGGATCATTGCTGTGGTTTTCTTGGGAGAGTATTTGTTTATTCATCCTGTGCAGTGACTACGAGCTGCCTCCGGCTCTCCTCAAGGGCCTGGGATACAGCCAGGAGCGAAACCAAACAGGATCACACCCCTGCCCTGCAGCGGAACTCGGCCAAATAAAGACCGGCTAGCAGTGGATGGTAGTAGGTGCCATGGGGAGAACTGGGGCATGGGCAGCAGACAGAGTATGGGGTGCAGGGAGTCCAGAAGGCTGTGCTACACAAGGCTGTGCGGGTGTGAGTCAGGGCAGCTTTGGGTGAAGGTGCAGGATGCCGAGTGAAGGGCAGCAGCCAGCATGGAAATGTCGTGACATGTACGTGCTCAGGCAATTCCAGACAGAGCAAGGTGGCCGGGAGAGCCGGAACTATACTGCAAGGAGAAATGGCAAGAGCTAAGGGAGGTCAGGGATGGGCACAGGTCAGCTGGAGAGGCCTTGGCAGGCCGCTGACTGGCCCTGGTTCTTCCTGTGAATGGCCCGGGAGTCACTGCAGGGTGTGAATGAAGGAGTGGCCCTGCTTACCCGTATGGTATCACTAAGCTGAAGCTAGGATCCAGGAGCTTCTCCCAGGTCTCCCTTGTGCATAGCTGGCTTTCAAGCACTTGGTCCATCCTCTACTGCTTTCCTAGGTGCAATATCAAGGAGGTGGATGGAAATGGAACAGCTGAGCCATGATCTGGTGCCCAGATGGAATACAGGTCTTGTAGGTAGTGGCTTAACTCGTTACATCAGAGTTCTGGACCCTTTCTGGGTTTTTCATTACTCATTGCTCAAGATTAAAATTCTAGGGCTGGAAGCAGGCATTTGGTGTACAGTGAGTGCCAGCATCCCATGTTGAAATACCTGGTTTGAGATCCGATCTTCCTGCTAATGCAGACCCTGGGGGCAGCGGGTCATGGCGCAGTAGTTGGGTCCCTGCTGTGGACATTTGGGGAGTAAATTGTCTCTCTCTCTGCTTCTTAAATAAATAGATTTTTTTTAAATTAAAAAACCTTCAAGAACAGCATCTAATTGCCCCCTTTCTGTCTGTTGGGAGGGTGGGGCGAGGAGGAAAAGCATTTTGATTGGCAACGCCAGAAAGCAAGAGACTGAAGTGAAAAGAAGTTTAGCTGGGTCTAGGAGTCCAGGAGGACAAGGCCTCATTGTGCGCTGCAGGACACTCTGCTTGTCCCTAACCGCTCGGCTCATCACTATGAACATGTTTACGGTCACCTTACAATGGATATGTCTGCAGCTGACGCCCCTCCCAGTACAAACCCTCTCTTCTGTCCTTCCCAGCTCCTTGCTTCCTTGACAAACTTGCTTTTACACTCACGAAACCATGTCCAAATGTTTGGACACATCGTCTATGTTGGCCTTGGATGTGTGTGTGTGTGTGTGTGTGTGTGTGTAATATTGAAACAACAGGGACCATGTGAGTGAAAGGTTTTGCCAAGTGTCTTCCTTGACTTATTGTTTCCGCCAGCAAGTCACCTGGCCTGGCTGAATTTCAGCGTCTTCGCCTGTGAAACTGCAGTCATAATATGTAGCCCAGAGGAGTATAAGCATGAATAAGCACAAATGGACTTTCATTGAGCACTTCCTATGGGTCGAACCCTAGGTACACAGTCTCATGCCCAGTGCAATGGCTAAATTGTCTAATCCTCCCTCAAGCACAGGAAGATCTTCCTCTCTGTCTCTCCTCTCTGTAAATCTGCCTTTCCAATGCAAATAAACCTTTTTTTTTTTTTTTAATGTGCTATGTGGGCCTGGGGTTCTAGCTAGATCTGCAACTTCTGGCGGTACCTCTCCCCTTACTCCTTATAAGAATTCTTCAAAAGAGTCATGATGATGGACAAGATGCAGGTGCACACGTGGCGCGCTGCTGGAAGTCACAAGCCAGCAAGTGGCTGACCTTTGACTCAGACCTGGATGCATTCATTTTTGAGACCTCTGTCCTTTTTAGCTATGCTGAAAACAAATGGCCACACCTAACACAAAGGCTGGACCTATAAAAGCTAAGCCTACTGTACCATGGATCCAGGAAGCTGTCTCCTCCATCCTCTGCTCTACCCCACCCCTCCACACTCCCCCAGCCTCACCTGGAGCCACATGCCAGTGGGAAGTAGCCAATCAGCAGGGGAGCCCGCAGGTGCCTGGGAGGGGCCACATTCTGACTGACAGGCAGCTGCTTAGTTCTGCAAGAAGGCAGTGGGGGCAGAACCCAAGGCCAGAGGGTCCAGGATCCTGCTGGGTGCACAGGCTCAAGCCGCTGGCTCCTCTAAGGGCCCCTGGGGAGGAGGGAAGGAGAAAGTGGAGAGGGGACTAGCCTGGATTGCAGGAGCCTGCGCAGAGCTGTGCCCTACCTGGCCGTCACTGCTGTTGACCATTCTTTGAGCTCAGAGTAAACAGGCCTGGGCCCTTCCCAGCAACGGCATGTCTCCAGTCCCCAGTCCCGGGAAGCTGGGAGGTGGGGCAGACATACCCAGCTTCCTTCTACCAGCATGTGTCAGGAGGGATAGCGGCTGAAGGATCTCCCAGCAGCAATGTCTCCTCACTTCTCATGCCCAGACCTCTGCTAGGCTCCACCAGCCAAGGCTTCCGGGGGCTGCCAGGACCCCAGGCCACTGGGACGGGAAGCGAGTCTGCAGGCACTTGTGGTTTCTCTCTGCATGAGTCACCCCGGATTCTATAAATCTTTGCTACGCACTGCTTCCTCGGGCATTGCGGGGCTTGGCCCCAGACCCTGTGCAGATAACAAAAATCTGTGACTGCTCAGTTCCTGATTACCACACGTAATGAAAACAGTTGCAAAAATTGTAATGCTTAGGGGAGATGACAAGGAAAAGAAACATCTGTACACATTCGCTAAGGTGATCCCTCCCCTCTCCCCACCCCCAGTGCTTTCCACTTTGGCTTGATTGAATCCCTGTCCGTGGAGCTCACAGGGATGACGGGATAACTGTGTTCAGCTCCAGCAGACAGCTGCCATTTTTAGAGTAGAGCCCAGCCATCTGTGTAGGACCTACCAGATACTAGAGGGCCTGGCTTGAGCTTTCCACATTATTCAGCGTGAACCTGCTCACTGTGAACGTGTGACCTTCACATTGGAGTCTTTTATAGGAGTCACTTTTGCAGATGTCAAACAGCAGTTCCGACCAGAGTCGGAACAAAGTCCCTCAGTGGGAAGTGATGCAGGGATTAGACCCAGACCCTGGCACCCAGGCCTGCGTTTATCCTTGATGGCCCCTCTGTACCCATGTCCATCCTTGGGGTACCTCATCTGGGGCAGGAGGACTCAGCGACTGTGTGCATGAAGTGGAAGTAAGGCAGCAGCTGGAGGCGAAGAGGCCCGGGGTTCAAAGCCCTCTCTATACCATCTTGTGTGAGCCCTAGGGGTGGAGATCCTAACCCTTTAAACCTCCGATGAGTTTGACATTATAACTGACAGTTCTGGTCATGGGAACCTGCTCATTGTTCATGGACTAGCTGGGGAGATTCCACCAGATGGGGGAAGGGACACAGGACCTGGCACCTGCCAGCTTGGATGAAAAAGAGGCAGGGACACTCACCTGCAGGATCTGTTCTTGAACAGCTCTGTTGCATCTGCAGGCCTTCTGGCTGATCTCCACCTGCTAATCCCAACTGCTACTTATGCAGTCCCTGCTGTGTGCTCCACCGCTAAGACCACAGGTCATGCCTGGCCCCAACCACCCAGTGACCTCAAATCCAACCCCAGGCAACTGCTACGTACTGGCAAACTCTTCCCATGGGGTTATTCTAGGAAGGACCCCCGAGTTTGTTTAGGAAGCCAGCCGGGAGCTCTGGCCCTGGTCCCCCGGCCCCAGATGGGAGGGAAGAAAAAGGGAAGGAGGAGTGGACAAGGGTCCGGCTGCAGCTGGTGGAACTGCTGGCGGCCAGGAGTCCTTTAGGTTCCTGGTTCCTGCCGGGGCCAAGAATGACACCTGATCCCTGGAGATTGTGAAATGCCCTGAAGTGGCAGCCCGCCCGCGGTGCCCGCTGGGCTCGGCACAGCACCCCCACACACGCTCCCCCCACCCCGCCCCGGCCCCGCCCTTGTCCCCCGCCCCCCTCCCGTCGCGCGCACCAGGTTATATCCCCCCCGACCGGCCGCGACCCACACCTGCGCCCTGGCCCGGCTTAGCACCATGCCTGCCCTTCGCCTCGGCCGGCTCCTGCTCTCCGTCGCCCTCCTTGGGCTGCTGCTGCTGCTGGTCGACCTCCCTCGGGTCTCAGGTGAGTGGGGCGGGGAGAGGCCGGGTGCCCGGAGGGGCTGAGCCAGGCGCGCCGGGACCGAGCCAGGCGGAGGCGTAGCCGCCCGCCGGGGCTGGGCAGGCAGGGATTCCTGGGGTGGAAGAGGGAAGAGCCGGTGAAGACTGCAAGGTGGGCGCCCGGGAGACCTAACGGCGGGGACCCTGGAGCCAGAAGAGATGGGGGAGATCGATCACTGTAGGTTAAAATTGATGTCGCGGTGGGGTTCTCGGGGTCGAAGGCGGAGTCTGGCTGCAGATGCGAGGGAGAGCAATGCGTACTACTTTACACCTAGTGCCTAGACGGACAGGTGAGCCGGCCCCCGAAGGCCTGAGTTTTCAGGGCTCTGATCCAAGAATTGGGAAGCCCCTGTGTTCGCGGGTTTTGTTTTGTTTTGTTATTTCCTTTGAAGGGGATGGCCTGGAGGTGGGGCCCTCTGGGGAGTTCCGAGAGTGAAATTGCCTTGGAGGAGGAGAGATTTGGGGCGCTCCGAGCGCGAGGGTGGTGTCCTCCAGCCGCGGGCTCTGATGGCTCCCACCCCCGCCAGGCACAGGAACCGACAAGCCCGGAGTGTGCCCCCGGCTGCCGCCTGACCTGAACTGCACGCAGGAGTGCTTGGCTGACCAAGACTGTCCCGAAAATCTCAAGTGTTGCTGGGCGAGCAAATGCGCCTCCGCCTGTTCCATACCCAATGGTAAGGCCCGGAGGTCCCGCGCGTGGTCAGCTGTTAGGGGGCCCAGGGGACGGGAGCGCCTGCACCATTCCGAGGGAAACAAAGGCGGCGCAGAAGCGCAGTCCTTGGTGGAGGGAGGCCCTCAGCCCCTGCATGAGCAGGACGAGCTTCCGGGTGCAGGCAACCTGGGGACCCGGGACTGCTGCTTCTTCCCACGGCCCCGCTGGAGCCTGCGGGGGAGGGGGGGAATCCGCTGGAGCCTACGTGGGTGGTGATGGGGGAAGCCAAGCTGGGTCAAGAGGCCTGGGGCACTCATCCCTGGGAGCCTACCCCTCTGGGGTGTAGGGGTGGAGTAGGGGTAGAACTGGCCTGTGGCCTGGAAAAGGACCTCCTGGACCTGCCAAGATTATCTGAAAGATGTGGAAGGGGCGGCAGCCAGAGCAATGCCCTTGCCCACGTGATTCTCATAATAACTTTAAAAGAAGGGGAAGGGCAGGGAAACTAAGGCACCCCACACTGGGTCATCAATGTGGCTAAGGCCGCCGGGGGGCTGAGGCAAGGGCTGAAGCCCAGGGACTCTGTGCTCAGCCGCTGTGCAGTCTGCCACACATCACTTGTGAAGCGCAAGCCGGAGGTACTGCACACTCAAGCTCCCCTGCACTCATGAGGGCATGTTCGTCCAGGGCTCAGACTCCTGCCTGCCATGTCCCTCCTGACGATCGAGCGACCAGGCTCTTTCTGGGAGAAATAGTGTGTCTTGTAGGAGCTTCGTGATGCTGTGTGATCCATCCCTCAGGAGTTGGGTGGAGGGAAGTGGTCAGAGAGGAGAGGGTTCTGGGAGACTTCTGCCTCAGGCCTCAAACTTAGACAATGGCAGAGCTGTGACTCAGCGGTGGTGGTGGGGGGTTTCTGAATTACAAAGCCTCCTGGGAGATGAAGGAGGGGCCTTGGAGGCAGTCTTCATGCCCCCTCACCTCCCACCCAGATCAGATCGGCACCCTTTTCCCCACCCACATGGTGTTGCTGTTCACAGGGCCTGGGCCACTTTCACTTTTCTACAGCCCCCTGCTTATCCCTCTTTGTCCTTTTGCTGTGCAGAGAAGAAGGGCTCTTGTCCTAAGTTGGACTTCCTCCAGCTTGGCATCTGTCATGACACGTGTGCGGAGGATAGCCAGTGTCCAGGCCAGATGAAATGCTGCCTCAATGGCTGCGGGAAGGTGTCCTGTGTCACACCCACCTTCTAAGGTAGGTGCGGGGTGGGGGGTGGGCCACGGTGAGGCATCGACACCCGGACCCGGGATCACTGTGTGACCGACCCCTCCTCCCGCCCCCCGCAGTGCATTGCAGTTGTCTGCTTCTCTGCATTCCCAAATGTTCACTGAGCATCTAGTACTGCTCTGGGTGCCCGAGAAGCTCTGCAGATGAAAGAATCAGATGTGGATACCTCTGGGGGCCATAAACTGAACCCAGCAGCTGGCTGCAGGGCTAAAGGGAGAGAGACCACGGCAGGAGGCAGGAGAGTTGACCTCCAGCTTCACCCGGAGAACTGGGCTGTGCAGGATGGGTTTGGTGCAGTCCAGCTGGTTGAAGTGAGTGCCCGAAGGGTGTGGGGCCCTCGCTGTGTGATGGGACAGGGCTAGGTGTTTGCTATTTCCGGAAGGTGCTGGCACTCAGAGCAAAAGATGGCAGAGCCTCGCAGGCTTCCCATATACATGTAAAGAAAAAGCACGATGAAGCCATACAGTCCAGATGAGGAAATAAAGGAAAAAACAAGGGGAGTAAGTGCTGTGTCAATCCACTGGGTGACCTGGCACCGAGCTGCTGGTCTGTGCCAGGCGCTGGGACACATGGGTGGCCACCAGCCCTGCCCTGGGCTTGTGGTGTGGTGGCCGAGGAGTATGTGTGGACAATAGTCAGCCGCCAGGGCTGCGGGGAGCAGGAGGGAGTGGGGAGAGGGTACTGCTGAAGGAGACATCCGGGAAGGCTTCCTAGGAGGGCAGCCTTGAGCAAGTCCTGAATGACAGGTGACAAGCAGGCAGTCTGGTGAAGTGCAATGGACCAGTTGCTTCAGGCAGAGGGGACAGAATGGGCAAGAGTATAGAAGTATCCCTTGGTTGGGGTCAGTGTCAAGTGCTGCCTTCAACACTGCAAACGAGCTTACAGCTCGCTACAGTGGGTGAGAAAACTGTTGAGCAGGAGAGGTGTGTGTGTAAGGTCCCATGCTTGCGATGCAAGGTGCTCCAGGGGCCGTAGAGGGAACCGTGGGCTCCCTAGGGCCCAGAGCCCATGATGCCGCATGTCTACCTCCCAGAGTGTCCCGTTACAGGAACGGGCAGGTCAGGCAGGAAAGCTAAGCTCCGAGGTGTACCCAGCCTTTTCACAGCATCAGTGACTTTGTGTGTGGAATGGGGCCAGATAAGATCTGTTCAGCCAGCCGAGCTCACCTCGCCTGAGGCCTGAGGATGGGATAGAACCTAAGGATGGGTGACTCACTGGAGCTTTGCAGGAAGCTCATGCCAGCCGGTTGGACCCAGGATATTCCCAAGCGTGTCCTGGGATGGTCTGCAGTGGAAGAGATGAGTCTTGAAGCTGCAGAGTAATGCATGCAGAGCCGCCCCAAGGCAAGGCTTGGGGTGGGTGGGGTGGGGTGTTGTGTTGGTCCAGCCCACAGCTACTGATTACCATTTCCTTGCTCCAGTTCCAGCCAGCAGCAGCAGCCTGAGAAATGGCGAGGAGAAAGGTATCTGCATGGCTCTGGCTCCGGCCCAGCTGCCCTCCCCTCTTGCCGGCCTCTACCTTCCCTCCAAGGCGGACCACAGCTTCTCCCCCTTTCCCATGAATAAAGCGACTGCTTTCAGCACTGCTGTGACGTCAGCACGTGTTCTTTTCCTTCTACCCCCATCTCCCCTGGGTTGGGTTGAGGTGGGCGGAGGGTGGGAGCAAGCAAGTGCTCCAGACTCCAAGTCCTGAGAGGCGTAAGTTCTGAAACAGTGGATGTCCTGCATGACCAGTCCCCACACCAGCCATGACTGCCACCCCAGGCTCCTCCTTCCCCAAAGCCCTTGCCCTGCTGTGTCCCCGGAACTCACAGTTGGGTTCTTCCCTGTACCTACACGCCCCCAGCTGATGTGTTTGGTGTCCATCTGCAGCCCAAAGGGTGGTGTCTGGCAACACCCATTGGGAACCAGGCATCTGCTCGGTGGGGCAGGTACAGCTTTGGGTTGGAGTGAGAGTAAGGAGGGATGTGAGTGAGCTGGAACTGAGAGCACAGACTGATACAGATGGCCCAGGCTGAGCACAGACTGATACAGATGGCTTCTCAGGGGCTAGTGTCACCAAGGGAGCAGCAGCAAGGCCACAGGAAGGAGCTGGTGTGTGCACATGTACGTGTGCATGTTTACGTATAAGTGTGCAAGAGTGTATGTTCATATCTCAACTGATCCACTTCCCATCCAGCTCCCTGCTTATGACCTGGGAAAGCAGCAGAGAATCTTGCAAGCCCTTGGGCTCCTGAGACCAAGGAGGAGCTCCTGGCTCTGGGTCAGGTCTGCTTTGGCCATTTGGGGAGTGAAACAGCAGATGGAAAATCTTTATCTCTTCACTCTGCATATCTACCTTACAAACAAAATAAATACAGCTTAAACACACACACATACACAACCATAGCCCAGGAGGTAACATTGTGGTGCAGTAAGTTTAGTTGTGTCCTGGGATGCCAGCTTTCCAAGTGGGTGCTGGGTCAAGTCCTGGCTGTTCCGATTCCTATACAGCTGCCTGCTGATGCCCTGGAAAAGCAACAGAAGATAGCCCAAGTGTTTGGGTCGCTACCACCCACATGGAAAAGCCAGATGGAGTTCTGGGCTCCTGGCTTTAGCCATTTGGGGAGTATACCAGTGGATGAAAGATATCTTTCTATTTCTGTAACTCCTTCAAGTAAATGAATAACTTTTTTCTTAAAGCCCCACAGTACAATGATTGATCCAATGCTATTATCGAATCTACAGATAAGATCAGCTACATAGTTTGTGAGATGTAGCACAAAATGGAAATGTGAAGCCCCTTGATCAACCAGCAGGAAAAAAATATATCATGACAAGTGCTCCAATGCAGTGCTGTGTGCCCTTTCCGGCTCTCTCTCTAGACCTGCTCTGGTGCTTCTGATTGGTTATTTAACACCTTCTTCCCTCAGACATGGGCGGACTTACGAAGCAGTACAGGGCCATGGCAGTGCCCAAGGCCCCTGTCTGCTGCTTGGTAGTATGTCCTGCTCTTGGGTTCCTCCTCTCATCCAGCAGCTTCCAGAATGTAAGTTTGCTGCTGCAGGTGAGTGAGGAAGTCAATCTCCCCTGTCACAGGCCCATCCCAGCAACCCACGTCCCAGCATAGGACAGGGACATGGCCATGGACTTCAATGAAATGTTACAAGTTGTCCATGTCCAGCTCACACCCTTCCTGCCCATCAGGTGTGGCTGGCAGGAACCTTCCCTTACCACTGCAACTTGATTGCCACCTGATTGGCAGCCATCAGGGGTTAAAGGTGGGAAGGGGCAGGCTGGGTAGAGAGAGCCAGGGTGCCAGGTGGGGGAAAGTGGGCGGTGGAGAACCCATCCTGGAGAGGCAGCAAGGGTTGGCATTGATCTTGAGCTAAGGTCCCTGGACTGTAGAGTGTTCCAATGTCCCATTGATCTTCATATACAAAACACAATTTTCAAACAAAGCACTCTTCCCATTATGTTCTTCATAGAGAAAGAGAGAAAAAACATTCTCTGATCCTGCATTGCCTTCAACTGTCGTAACTCTACTCTTTCATTTGGAACAGCCTGCTTGGTCTTTAACAACATGGACATTTTGGAGGATTATAGGCCACTAATTTTATAGACTGTCCCTCAATTACACTTATCTGATATTTCCTTGCAGTTAAATTCATATGTATTTTTGGCAGGAATGCTAACAGGAAGACATACGTTCCTTTGGGGCTGGGTCACACTGAGAGGCCCGTGACATTGATTTATTTTGTTTCTGGTGATGCCACCTATGATTACTTGAATACTTGAATGCTGGTGTCCGTTAGCATTTCCCATTCTAGAGTTCTCTTTTTCCCCTTCATAGTTGTTAGTGGGAAGACCACACAAAAACCATCAAGATTTTACTTTCTAGTTTTAGAAATTACCCATGATTTTTTGTCCAGATCAGTGGTGTATCTAAGTTTTCTTTTTAAAGATTTTATTTATTTTTATTGGAAAGGCAGATCTTTAAAGAGAAGGAGAGACAGAGAAAGATCTTCCATCCACTGGCTCACTCCCCAAATTGCTGTGATGGCCAGAGCTAAGCTGAACTGAAGCCAGGAACCTCTTGCTGGTCTCCCACCTGGTGCAAGGCTGGCTGTCTGACTGCTTTCCCAGGCCACAGGCAGGGAGCTGGCTGGGAAGTGGAGCTGCTGGGATATGAACCAGACTTCGACCACTCTCTTGACTGGCTAGCTTTAGCTCAGTGTGAGTTGTGGGAGGGAGGCAGGGAGGCGGGTTATCAGGAACAGGGCTGGTCCTTGAGGAGCTGAACTAACTTTTTTTTTTTTAAAGATTTATTTATTTTTTATTGGAAAGGCAGATATACAGAGAGGAGGAGAGACAGAGAGGAAGATCTTCTGTCCGATGATTCACTCCTCCAGTGGCTGCAATGGCTGGTGCTGTGCCTATCCAAAGTCAGGAGCCAGGAGCTCTTCCAGGTCTCCCACGCGGGTGCAGGGTCCCAAGGCTTTGGGCCGTCCTCGACTGCTTTCCCAGGCCACAAGTAGGGAGCTGGATGGGAAGTGGAGCCACTGGGATTAGAACCGGTGCCCATATGGACTCCCGGCGCATTCAAGGTGAGGGCTTTAGCCACTAGGCCATCTCACTGGAGCCCAGTTATTGAGGTTTTAAAGGAGAGCATTTACTATCAAAAGCTTTTAAATGTACATCCACTCTACCCAGAAATTCCACTTCCTAATATGAGTGAAGAACCAGTAATACTCATGGCAACTTACTATCTTCACAATCTTATTAATTAAATTGAGAAAATGTAAGCAACGTTACAATGTAGCCATGAAAATTTGTTTAAATGATGCCCTCGTCCATATAAGGAAAACTCTAGAATGTTCAATGACACAAGAAAAATCTTCACTTAAGGTTGTTAACCAGTAAAAGCAGGGAACACAGCTGCATGACTGTTGAGTTCTCCAAGTATCCCATGGCTCCAAGTCTCTGGTTTCATTCTTCCAAGGAATGAAACCTACTCTTGGGGGAAGCTGATCCTCCTGTGGCAAGGTTGAGATGTTTCGTGACTCCCTGGTGCTTTGTCAGGATTGTTCTTTCCAGGGTACCCCAGCTGGCTCCATGGCCCCTGGTACAGGGTCTTGGGCTTTAATTTGTCTTTCTACCCAAACAGCTTTCCAGTGCAGCAACTCTCAGACTCCAGGTTTGCTGTCGTGAAGACACGTGGGTACTTGTCCTTGGAGGGACCAGACACTGTGAGCCTTGAGTTGTCACCTGAGAAACCAATTGGAAAAGAGGAGATTCAAGAATTGACACTTCTATTTTGCAACATGGCCTTTTTATTGGTTCAAAAAAGGAGGTCTGAAACTCCCGAAACTTGGATAAAAGCCAAACAGCTTTTTTTCTTTCCTTACCACCATGATTATCCTAGTTCAGTCTGTCACATCCGAGTGATGTAACAACCTTCACACTCTATCTTTACGTAATTGTCACATTTGCTTCAATCCATTTAAGAAGATAGACTTCAAGCTCTCACTTCAGCCTTGTGTGACTGTAGCAAGTTCCTCTTGGTGCTAATTCAACTTCTAAGACTGCCCTATCCTCCCCTCCTGATGTTCCGACCCTTAGTCATCTCCTCCTTGAGTGGAGATGGCCCAGGGATCTAATGAGAAATGGTGTGCAGAAAAAGGGTGAGAAGTCTCTCCTTGATGAGGTTGCAAAGCTGTGATTTCCCTTTTCTGCTTATGCCTTCTGGGTTTTCCAGTGTGCTTGTGTTCTCTGACCAAGCAGATGGCCGTGCTGGGAGCTGCCATCTAGAGATATTTGCTTGTCATGGACCTGGGGACAGCTCTCTGGCCAACAGCCCCTGAGGAACTGAATCCTTCCACTGGCCATGAGAGTGGACCAGACATGGATCTACCTCCTGTTGAGCCGTCAGATGAGATTGCAGCCCTAGCCAGTCATCGTTTTCCTGCTTCCTTCTAAGAGACCCCAAAGGCAGAGACCTACTTAAGTCTTGCCCAGACTCATGGTTCATGAGAACTGGGTGATAGTAAGTCTAGATTTTTAAAGATTGATTTATTTTTATTTGAGAAGCAGATTTACACACAGAGAAGGAGAGACAGACAGACAGATAGAGATCTTCCATCTGCTGACTCACTCCCCAAACGATCCCAACAGCTGGAGCTGGGCCAATCTGAAGCATCCCATCTTACAGTGTCATGTGGGGTGCTGGCTTCTCTGCCTTTCACACAACTTCCTGAAAATGCAACCAGGAGACAGTGGAGGACAGTTAAATCTCCTGCCATCCATGTAGGAGACCATGATGGAGTTCCTGGCTCCTGGTTTGGGCCTCATCCAGCTTTGTTTGTTGTAACCTTTAGGGAAGTAAACCAGTTGATGCAAGATGTCCTCCTTTTTCTATTGTTCCACCTTTTAAATAAATAAATAAATTGACTCTTTTTTTTTTTTTTTAAAGAAAAGTTTGAGTAGTTTGTGAGAACCTCTGTGAGAACAACTGATTCTGATCTCCTTGCCTAGAATAGGTGAGCAGATATTATCAACCACAGGGCTATTTTCAGGCTATTTTCAAGAGCCTGTTTGTCCCTCGGTCCCTAGCACAGAATGATTCTGTCCCAGTCATTCAAGTATGTCAAGCCCAATCAAGAACCGAGACGTACCAAGGAAATCAACCAGCACTCTGTGCTTATCAGATTGTACAGTGTTCCCAGGGCAGCTGAGATGCTTAAAGATGCACCCTTCCATCCCACCCTACCCCAACCAGGGCATGCCTCCAACAGGTTAAAATGGAGCATCAGATTTTATTTTATTTTATTATGCCTAGTTGTGTATCTTCCTACAGGATGAGACCATCGATTTTTCTCGGCAACTGGTCTGGTTCTTTAGGAGGCAAAGGACTTGAGGGAGGCCTCATGACTACGGTCCAGCTCTCACACAGTGTGGGGGCCAGAGCAGATGTGGTCAAAACCACACACCAAGACAGCAGTGGCCCTTCCCTGATCCTTTCAGTGATGGAACATTTTTTTCCTTAAAGTCCTGTATTTATTTTTATTGGAAAGGAAGATTTTGTATAGAGGAGAGACAGAGAGAAAGATATTCCATCTACTGGTTCCCTCCTCAAATGGCTGCAAGACTGAAGCTGAGCTGATCCAAAGCCAGGAGCAAGAGCCTCTTCCATATCTCCCATGCGGGTGCAGGGTCCCAAGGTAGGCAGACAGGTGGAACTCCATCTGCCGTTTCACTCCCGAAATACCTAGCTAGGGCATTAAGTCAGGATAGTCTGCTGTGGGATGCAAGCGCCCCAACTGACATCTCTTTTAAAAAAAAAAAGATTTATTTTATTATTTTTATTAGAAAGGTGGATATACAGAGAGGAGAGACAGAGAGAAAGATCTTCCATCCAATGGTTCACTCCCCAGGCAGCCGCAACAGCTGGAGCTGAGCCGATCCGAAGCCAGGAGCCTCTTCTGGGTCTCCCACACGGGTGCAGGGTCCCAAAGTTTTGGGCCGTCCTCGACTGCTTTCTCAGGCCACAGGCAGGGAGCTGGAAAGGAAGCGGGGCTGCCGGGATTAGAAACCGGCGCCCATATGGGATCCTGGGCGTGCAAGGCGAGGACCTTAACCATTGCGCCGGGCCCCCCAACTGACAACTTAATTACTGGATCAGATGCTCATCCTTTGATTACTTTAGATTCCATATAAGCAAAATCCCGAAGTGTTTGTCCTTCCATGGCCACCTTGTCTGACTCAGTATAATGTCCTTTGGGTTCATCTGTGTTGTATGTAGCAAGCTAGATATTTCTATTGATCCATTGATGGACATTTAGATTATTTCCATATCTTGCCTTGTGAGAACAGTGCCGCAATGAACTTGAGGCTATACTAGAAATTTTGTAGTGTAGGTCTTACATTTTAGGTGCCAACCATTCTGAGTTGTTTTTTGTACCTGGTGTGAGGTGGGAATCTAATTGCACTGTTTTTATGGGTGGGTAAACATTTTTCAGCACATTGCCATTTTCTCTCTCCGTTGAAAAAAGTGCTTTCCCCAAGTGATGAGTTTACACAACACTTCTGTAGAGAGAGGAGCCGAGGGATGGTAACAGCAACTCGAGCCCGATCTCTTCGGAGCCTTGAACTCAAGTCACGCAACGCAGCGAACTGACTTAAGAAGCCGTGTCAACTGTGGCTGTGCTGCCCTGACAAGCCCCTGGGGCAGGGTTCTCCTCCTAATCCTGGCCCCCTTTGACTTCCCCCCATCCTTCGGACCTGCTTTCCATGTTCCCCAAGCTTGCTCCTTCGCCTCCTGCCACCCCTGCTTCCCTCACCCCTTCCTTCCTCTCAACTGCCAATTAGTTTGATTTGATAAATATATGCTATATATAAGTGTTGAAATAGCACAGTCTAGATTCCTATTAACATGTAATAATTGTGAACATTTACTAGGTAGAGTATGCTATTTCAATGTTCATATGTAGCATATACTTACCAACTCAAGGTAATTAACAGTTGTATTTCCTTAGTGTTTATATTTGGAACCTTCGAGTTTATGTTTTTTTGTTTTTTTGTTTTTTAAGATTTACTTAACTCTTATTTGAATGGCAGGTTTTACAGAAAGAAGGAGTGACAGAGAGAAGATCTCCCATCTGTTGGTTCACTCCCTAATTGACTGCAATGGCCAGAGCTAAGCTGATCCATAGCTGGGAGCCAGAAGCATCTTCCAAGTCTCTCATGTGGGTGCAGGGTTCCAAGGCTTTGGGCCGTCCTCTAATGCTTTCTCAGAGCACAAGCAGAGAGACAGATTCAAAGCAGAACAGCCGGGACACAAACAGGTGCCCCTATGGGATGCTGATGCCACAGGGCAGGGGATTAGCCTCCTTGCCCCAGTGCCAGCCCCTCAAGCTCCTTTCTTCAGCAAAGATTTGGCGTGTGCTGGGGAACCCTAGTCACTCCACCATGCCGTGGAACACTGGTGCAATCTGTGTTATTTGTTAACTCTCTAAAATTTGCAATTGATATAATTGAAGTCAGATGCTGCTGTGTGTGTGTGTGTGTGTGTGTGTGCGTGCACAAGTGTGTTTATACTTGTTCTTAAGGGAGCCCCTGAATTCTCAGCTCCTGATGGACTGCATTACATGAAACCTGTGTCTGCTCTGGTTTCCTACTTGGGCCCTGGTGCTTCTTCTCTACCCTGACATGTTCTCTGAAAATTGCAGACAGGAAGACAGCACCCGTGGCTTCCTGCCGTCACAGACGTGAATTGTTCAGACGTCACGCAGAGCACTTTATTACAGAGAGCTGGTGTTATCATAGGAATCAACCTGAGTCCCCAAAGCTGAGAGATAGGGTCTGACACCAGCAAGGGCTCAAGGAAAGAAGGGTGTTGTGTTTGAAGGGAAGTTTGAGCTGGCTGCAGGGGTTGGTGGGGAGAGGGAGCAGCAGGCCCTGGAGTTCAGTTTTGGAGCAGCCAGGGTCTTGGTAGCTGAAATTTGGCCAACAGAAGCCTGCATAGAGTATCTGTCCGGCAGAATTGTGTGTCAAATCCTGGAGGTTGTTCCAGCTGCTCCTTAAAAGAGCCAGCGATATGAGTCTACAAGACAGCAGAGCAAAGCATCAGTCTCAGATCCTGGTCGCCTTAGGACCCCAACCTTACAGCTGACCGGGGAAAGGTGGGGCGGGGGCTGTCATTAAATCTTCTTAAAGGAAGAGAAGATGGAGGTGAGATGACATGGAGGCTTCTCAAGTACTCACACATTCTGCTCTAACCAGCAGAGTGCAGTTCACGTTGCAGAACAACAATTAACGGCACCCACCCCCCTCATTCTCACAATGTCTTGATTTGGACCACAAAGTATCGTGGTTACCCTGGCTGCAAGTCACTTTAAAGGCAAAGAGGATTGGGGACCAGGCTTGGTGAAGAGATTCCGTAATGAATTTCTAGTGGATGGTGCCTAGCACGGGGCTGTCTCCTTCTGACTGTATCTGGAACACTCCATGGCTTCATTGCCAGTTCTCATTTGCTGATTTCCCTTTGCCATCCATCCCATCCCCTTCTTCCCCTAAACACCCTTCAAGTTGCATTCTCACCTCCTCCCCAGAGTTGGTTTTGTCAAGTCCCGGTCCCACCCACAAGTGGTACATCTAAGCCAACACTGAGGTGTCGCAGGGTGCTCCTTGTGGGTGTGGGCTGCTGGGACCCCTGGAACTTACTACTCTCCTGACAGATGACCAGGCAGATAGCTTCCGTCTGGAAGTTGTTATTGTTCCCTTGGCAACCTCCGTAGATAAATTTGGTGCAGATATCTTTTTCTTTATCGTACCACCAGCGTGGAATGAAGGCCATGCAGGGGCCGGTTTCCTTTGGCATGCTGCACACATCTGCAGGGCGATCAGAGGATGGGAGCCGCTGTTGGGGTGCCCGTCTCCCTACCCCCTCCTCCCCTTTCTCAAACTACTGCTCTTCTTCTCTAGCGTTCTGCTCCCAATTCAACATGGACTTTGGCCATTGACTCCATAGTCCTGGACATCCTCATCTATTAACGTAAGAATATAAAATTCCACCTGCTGACCCCACAGGGCTGCTGCAAGGAACAGATGAACGGACCTTTCATACAGCCTCCTTTCTCTCCTTTCTGCCCATCGCTTCATTCCACCAGAACCCAAAAAGTTCTATCTCCTTCTCCCAGTCTCCAGCTTTATCTCTCTGGCCATCCCTAAAACTGTGTTTATTCCGTGTCTCATATCCTTCCCTTGCTAGGCAGGTGCACACACGCCTACTCATTCTGCAGAAGCCTTCCCAAACTTCAGGTCTTTTGTGATGTCTTTCCCATCTACTCTTTACCCGTTGAGTTTTGTGAATTGCTTCCTTATCTTGCACACACATTGCTCTTCCCTGTATAGTGATTTGTTCATGTTTTCGACCTCTCCACAAGACACATGAGGCTTTCATGGTGGAGGTAGTGTCTTAGGTCGCCTTGCCACAAGCAGTCCCTGGCAGGTAATTTGGCACAGAGCGTCTGCTTCAGGTTGTTCACAGTGTTAAAGAAAAGCCCAATGTATCTTGCAATCAAAGCTGCACCTGCTCAGCAAACGTGTCCTACGAGGGACAAACGCAGTGCCTTAGAACCTCAGCATCTGTGGCCCAACAAACAATAGTTACCAAAATGCCCGACGCTGTTCTTGGCACCTGACATATGTTAACACACCATCATATATAATAGGTCCCCTTACTGTTATCACGATTTAGATGAAAGAACTGAGGCTTGGGGAGGCATAGCCACTTTCTCGAGGTCACAAAGTTGTTGGAGACCGGAATGCAGATTGTCCACTGCTCTTATGATTAAGACCAGCCCTTCCCCTCGCTCTCCTCCAGCCCCCTGTTCCACAGGACCTGTCCACATACGGTTAACTTCTGCCTGGAAGATAGTCCCCTGCCATTGTGGTCTCAGTCCTCACTATATTTCCTGGTCTGGGTCAAACATTCCTTTTCCTGTAAAACTTTTCCTGAATACAGTAAGTGACACCTGCCGGGCATGTCAGAGGAACCAATGAATATTTGCCCTATGAGTAATCCTGGGTGGTTTTATTTAGAGGCCAATGACATGGGAAGGAGAAAGATGAGTGTGCTAGGTTTAAGGTGATTGGGGAAAGGATCCTGGGTTTACATAGAGCCCTAGAGAAGAAAGGTAGGAAACACAGCAGGTCCTGTGCCTGTCTCTGATAGCTATCCTGGAATCAGACAGGATGTTGACATTTGCTGGAACTTCAGTGGTTTCTTGGCATCACAGAGGACCATTGAGGACTAGCCACGAGACTCTGGGGGGATCACATTTATGTCACAGAGGAGGAGGTGATGGCACAGAAAGGGGAAAAGCCACTCCAAACATAACACATAAGGACACAAGACGAAGAGGCCAAGAAAACCAATTTCTCCAAATCTAGCCTGGGGCGAGTTTGTGTCAAGCAGAAGATTCAGGGAAATGCAACGTCAGAGACCAAGGGGAGGGGACTGTTGCAGGTGGGGGCAGAAGGTGGGGGACCTGGGGGTACCTTTTCGGAGGTCTAGACATTTCTTCCCACAGTTGAACAGGCAGCATTTCATTTTGTCCGGGCAGTGTCTGTGCCTCGTGCACTCACTCCTCTCCTGGACTTCGCATTTCACTCTGATGTTGGGACATGTCTCTAAGGAAGGGGAGACACACTCCCTTGAGGCCTTGAGAGGGGCCACACCCTCCCTTCCCACACCAGGGCACCACCAGAGTTAGAGCGGCTTGCTTTCAAATCTCGCCTGTCCCTGGAAGATGGTGGCCTACAGGCGCTCAACATTGTTATAGCATTGCCCACATCTGCAACCCTATTAACAGGCCATCAATTGATTCCTACCTTCCAACCCCCGACACCTCCCCCTATGGGAGAAGATTCCAGGGTAACATAGCCTTGGGGGGCACTGTAGCTCTCTGTGTTTAAGTTCTTCACATAGCCAGGTTTTTAAATCCTGTACAATCTTTTATACAGCAGCTACCCTATCTGAACATTGGTTTCCTAATTTTCCCAAAGGACTGTTTTGAACTCTGATGCAGCCAAGTTTTCAAAGGCATTTTCAAGTTGTTGGGGGCACAATAACGATGACTAGCCTGGATACAGAACTTGCAATGCACTTCATTGATCCATACTCACCAGTGAAACTGTATGCATAAATCATATTGCTATGCACAGTCTGTAAACAGAGGAATCAGAATCGGAATGGAGGGAGGTTGGGTGAGCTTGCCCAGAGCTACATCATTGCTGAGGAACGGAGCCAGGGCTGGAGGTGGAGTGCGTGTATCCTGAGCAGCAACTTCCAACATCGATTTCAAAGTGCTCAGTCAGCTCGAGTGCCTCTTTGTGTCTCAACATCCCAGAGGTTTTTGGAGACAGTTCTCTACCACAGACAGTGGCCCTCTGCGGGTCTGAGTGCAGGTGTGTGTCACAGGGAACAGCTTGGGAGCTCTTCAACAGGAAGAGTTGGAGCTGAATGAGAGTGGTGCTGGGCAGTGGAAGCTGTCCTGTTCAAGGCAGAGTCCCTTAGCTTTCACAGTTTCCACACAGTCCATTTCACAAGCTCCAGGTTTAGGCACCTCCAGGAAGAGCTCCTTGGGATCACGGCAGCTCAGACTAAGGGTACTATGTCTGCCAAGGGCATCTTACAGGAGGAAACAGGCTGAAAGTATCACTCTTAACATTTCCCCTCTCTCCTGGCCAGCACCCAAGGCTGAACTGGGGAATGCACTCTGTCTGCCCCTGAGAAACTGTTCTTTGTGTCCCCAATTCCCAAACCCCATCAAGCCCCTTTTCTCCATTGCAAGGGCTAAGTCCCCATTACTTACTGATAAAGAACCCTGCCACCAGCCCAGATTCCTGGATCCCTCCCAGGAGGATGAATGGTACAAGGATCGGCAGAAGTCCCAATAGTTCCATTTTAGGAGGTACCAGCCTTGCAGATGGCACCTAAGTTATCACTCAGCAGTTCCTGTCTTTCAGCTTTGGATGCCCTGGGGCCACCCAGAACTCTAGGTCCTATCCTGGAGACCGGCCAGCTACAATCGTTCACTGGGGAACACCAAGTCCCTGAGGCCCTTCAGTGGGCATGTGTGGCACCTGCAAAACCAACCCTGGGGGAGGGGCACTGGATAGGCAGCTCCTAACGCCTGTAGTTGAGGCTCTCTGGTCTATCAGGGTAAGCAGTGTGCCTCAGCTGAGGCTTTTCAGACTTTCTTAGCAGAACGGGGTGAGCAAGGCCAGAGTCTTCCTTTCCCTGGGGAAGAGGGGGGTTTGGATGGCAAGAGACCCTCAATTCTCTCTCTCCCTAAATGGATTATTTATTTTACTTGAAAGTCAGAGTGAAACCGAGTGTGTGTGAGAGAGAGCTCTTCCATCTGCTGGTTTGGTCCCCAAACAGCCACAATGGCCATAGCTGAGCTTATCTGGAGCCAGGAACTTCCTTCTGGATCTCCCACATGGGGACAGGGTCCCAAGGATTTAACCTGTCCTCTGCTGCCTTTCCAGGCCGTTAGGAGGGAAGTGACTTGGAAATGGAGCAGCTGGAACATGAACCAGTGCTCAGGTGGGAGGCAGGTGCTACAGGCAGAGCGTTAGCTTGCTACGCCTCTACATGGGTGCCACTCTTCTCGTTGGACTGTTCTCCTGACATGCCTACATTTTTGTTTCATTTCTCTCCTTTTCATGCTTCTCTGTGATTTTCACTCTGTGTTCTTCCCAGTGAGTCTCGTCTGGGCTTCTTTCTACTTGCCCACTCTTTCTCTTCTGTAGTTCTCCCTCTCCTTGACTTTAGGCACTGCCAAAGAATGAAGATACTTCCATGAGTTGTATGCAGGGGAGCTCATAATTGACTCCTCTCTGGGCTGAATCTCCTCCGCTCTCCTTACGTCAATTCCAGTTGGCAGGGGGAGGAGGGGCTGGCACAGAACTAGGCTAATCCTCTGCCTTGCAGTGCCAGCATTCCATATGAATACCAGTTTGTGTCCCGGTTGCTCCATTTCCTATCCAGCTCCCTGTCTATGGTCTGGAAAAGTAGAGGAGGATGGGACTCTTCCTGTGTGTAGGAGACCAGGGCAAAACTCTTGGCTTCTGGCTTTGGACAGGCCAAGCCTTGGCCACTACGTTCATTTGGGAATGAACCAGTGGATGGAAAATCTTTCTATCTCTTCTCTCTGTCATACTGTCTTTCAAATAAAATAGATCAATCTTTTTTTAAAAAGTACATAAACAAGCGAAAATTCCTTTATTGATTTCTTTACTGCCTTCCCAACTGACATAAACAAGTCTTTAGAAAATAAGTAACTTGGGGGCCTGGCATTGAGAGAGGAGTTAGAGTGGGTAGTAGGCAGTTAGGGTATTCTGGGTCCCTGAGTAAAAGAGAATTTCCCCACCATGTCTTGAATTCACCAGAGCACGTCTCTTCCAAGGGACAGGGGTGCTATTAGCATATCAATTCCCCACCAGAAGTATCGGCCATTACCTCCGGCCACTGTGGGAAGGCCTCAGGCCGATCTCTTTATCATTGAAAGGAGAACAGGAAGAGGTAATACACATCTGCCTAAGGCCTGGAATGTCCCATGTCTGGCACCTCTCTGGTCTTTTGCCCCAAAACCAGATACCTGGGGACCAGGAAATTCCTTTGTCCTTGGAAAACCCCCCTTCCGAAATAAAGCCTTAAAAGATCCCAACACTTCCCCTGCACGGGTCCTTTCTATCTCAAAACCCCCTCCCGTCGCTAGGACGGGAGTCTTCTCTTCTCAGCCTTTCTAATAAATCTTGCTTTAAAACTAAACTGTGTCCGCATGAAAATTCTTCTTTCCTGCAAGACAAGAATTTGAGGTTGCTGCCATACTCGGAGTCAAAAATCCTGCAACAGCATGATGGCTCAATTCTCCCCTTGCAAACACTGGGACTCCATGTGGGTGCCAGTTCATGTCCTGGGTGCACTTCCCATCCAGCTCCTTGCTTATGGCCTAGGAAAGCAGCAGAGGATGGCCTAAAGCCTTGGGACCCTGCAACCATAGAGGAGACCCCGAGGAGGCTCCTGGCTTCTAATCAGCTCAACAATAGCAGCCATTGTAGACATTTGAGGGAGTGAACCAGTGGCTGGAAGATCTTCTTTCTCTCTTCTCTGTAAATATGCCTTCCCAATAAGAAAAAAATAAATATTTTAAAAAAGATAAACGAAACAAACAATTTTTGAAACAGAAATTCCAGATTGAACTGAATTTTCCAAACTGACCAAGTCACACGGCTTGGAAAGCAGGGACAAAGATTCAAGCTCACAGAAATCCTTCTCCAACCGACTCCTAATCTTGAGAGTTGCAAGCCGTATTCTCGCCTGCAGGTGGGATCATACAGCATGTGACTGCGTGTGTGGCTTCTCTCTCTCTCTCGGCGTTTTTGAGTCTCGTCCTTGTGTAGCAGGTGGTAAAACTGCATGGTTCCTTTGCATGGCTGAGTAGCACCCAGTGATGGCCAGACTCCCACCACAAGAGGTTGGGTCCTGACCTCCCTCAGGATCTTCTTGGGCTCTCTATCAGCCAGAGTGAGGCACCCAGTGGGGCACAGGCCTCAGTAGGTACACAGGCAACACTGGAGACTAAGGAAGACAATTAGAGCTGTGTTTTATCCGTTCCTTAGAGGGTCCCCGGTGGGACTGAGCCATGGTCTCTCTCAGAGGTAAGCAGTTTGTGGTGGATTTCCCTTTTTCCTAGCTCATCTGCTTCTTCCCCATTTTGGGCTTCCTGGATGATCTCACAGGCACCCATACCCTTGTCCCAGGGTCATTCAAACCGAGATGATCTTCCTGCCTTAAAAGGGTCATGCAGGGTTTATTTTTCAGAAACAAAGGGGTATGTCTCCACCCCTGGATCACTCAACTCCTGAGGTTCTGCTGGTATTGCCCCCTTGAATGATGTCCCTAAAGGCCTCAAAGATAGCTTTACACACCACAAAGTGCAATTCACACCAAACAGATGTAGATTTAATCAGCCTCAGGGTCATAGAGCTAAGCCAAGAACTTTATTTGGGGGAGGGAGGGGATTGGGATATGCACAGGGACGATGAGCTGGCTCAGAAAGTTGGAGACAAAGGGGCGAGGCACAGAGCGAGAATCCGAGAATCCGAGTGGCAGGTGTTGTGCATGGAAAGAGGCGGAGATGGAAAAAAGGCGGGGGGCGGGCAGTGCCTGGAGTTTGGTTTGGGGAAGAGCGAAGGTCTTGGGCACAGAGCGTGGAACAGCTGACATCAACCTATTGCATCCATCAGTGTTCCGGACAGAGCCTGCTGCGTGAGTCACATCCCGGTGGCTGCTCCAGCAAGTCTCCATGCAGGAGCTATGCACCTGCGGAGAAGGCCATTGTTAGATGTGACTGAGCATCATATCAGCTTCTATTAAGAGTTTGAAGCTATGTTGGTGCGTTTGGTGGGGCAAGATCACAAGTGGGCTTGCTTTGGGCGAGCTTTTGACTTCCTTTAAAGACAAATGAATGGGAGCGGATCTTAGGCCAAGAACAACAGTGTGGACACAGACGGCCCGGGAAAACTGGTTGCTCAGTGTCCAGTATTCAGCTGGATAGCCGGTGCCCTTTCTGTTACGGTCCTCTGAGATCCCACCACCTCTGCACCTCCCTCCACGGCTCCTCGCCAGCCCTGAGCTACTCCATCTTCATCCTCGAGTTCCCAGAAAAGCACCCGGTCTACTCCTGGGAAAGATGTATCTTACACCCCCACTTCCATCCCAGCTGGGGAGCTGGATCAGCAGCACCAGGTTTGCCAAGTGCACAGCAGGTGAGCCAATGCCCTCCCCCCCCCCCCAACTCACCTGTTTTCTGGCAGGCATTCTGACAGATGGCTTGGGTCTGGAAGTTGTTGTTGTTTCCCAGGCAGCCACCGTAGATGAAGTTGTAGCAAGTGTTGTTTTCCTGACTGTACCACCAACGGGGAAAGTAAGCCATGCAGGGGCCCGAGTCCTTTGGTAACTGACATACATCTGCAGAAAGACCCCAGAGTTGAGACCTCAGCGTGCCCACCACAGCAGCCAGTAGCTGCCACCACTTCCCCTGGTGACCACCACTGACGAAGCAGAGTTCTGTTCCCGTATTATGGCATGCCAAAGTGCATATCTCTATCACTGAAGAGGGGGCCGTGGTAGGTAGAATTAGTGAAGATGACATCCAAGCAGAGGAGAGTGAACCCCAACCCAGGATGTCCTGATATTAAAAAGGGTTGAGTTTGGACAGAGACACATGCATAAGAAACACACTGCATGAACACACAGGTAGAGCTCAGGGCGATGAGTCCACAAGCCAAAGCTAGCCAACAACCCACAAAGAGCCAACAGGGAGAGAGAACAGGTTTCCCATCACACCTGGGAAGGAACCAACCCACGACACCTTGCTCCAGGCCTCATGATTGGCAGTGCTGTGAGAGGATGCACTCCTGTCATTTAAACCTCCAGCCTGTGCTGAGCAGTTTCTTTCATCGTCCTATTTCATGATCTGTAGGCATAACTTAACCTGATGAAGACCCTGCCCCATCTCAGTGGATTTCTATAAGTCAAGGTGAGAGTCTTCCATCTGCCAACCCAGGCTGGCTTGTTGGCTGCTCACCACCTCCTTAGAGTCTTCTCCCTTCATGTTGGGTGCATATTCCTGGTCTGCTTTCCAATCTCTGTGACCCTGTTATCTCTCCTTTCTGTGCCAGCCCCTATGCCTGCAAACATCCACCCACTTTTTACCTGAGACATGACCCATCATTCTGCACTAAACTCCAGGCTTGTGTTCTCAGAGAAGCTTTTTCTAACCTCTTCTGGCTACAGTGAACAGGTCCAGTCCTACTCCGGGTCTCACAGGCAATCAGTAAGTGTGACAAATGAATGAACACAGAATCCCGGATGGGTTTTGGAGGCCCAAAGATGTGAGGATAGATTGAAGAATGTAGCAGAAAAGGAAAAATCCACTAGTTGATACCGACCAAGCAAGGCTTGCCGGTGCAAGGTTGGCTCTTCCCAGCCACAAAGACAGCCAGTCTGGAACAAAAAACTAACAAACCAAAAGAAACATAAATCATGTAATTGATCACTTGTAGCAGCAACATTGGATAGGATCAGGCAGCTGGCACTCAGGAACTCTAAGAGTGGAAAGTAGCCAAGCAACCAAGCAGCAATAGGATCCAACCCCAACTCTTGTGGCCACCAGGGATTTGGGGGATTAAGATGCCCAGGCAGGCCTGGTGGGTACAGGCCACATTACGGTTAGTAATGAAAAGTGAGTTCCAGGTCTCCCAAGTGCAGCCATCTGGCCCAGAGCCCAGCGACCTGGAGGGCCGTACTCGCCCAGGCTACAGCGGGTGAGACTTTGGCCATTACCTTGTTGGAGGTCCAAGCATTTCTTCCCACAACTGAACATACAGCACTTCTTGTTGCGCTCGCATGGCTTGGTCTTGGTGCACAGGTCCCTTTCTTTGAATTCACATTTCTCTCTGACCCTGGGACATTTACCTAAGGAAGGAGAAGTCTTCCAACCACGGATCTTGCAGGGTACAATGCCCACCCTTCTCCAGCCCCAAGACAAGTTTGCCCTCACTCCTTCCCAGGGTGCCTTTCCTTCAGAGTGCTTCTTCAGGTATCTCCCAGCACTCCCTCTGGACCAACTCCCCTTGCTACCTTCCTGTCTCGGTCTTTCCTCCCACCCCAGTTCCAGCCCCCTTTGGCAGCTTTCTCAACCACTTGTGATTCCTTTTTGGGAGTGAATGCTGCCCTAAGCAGCATAGGACCCGTAGCAGTGTGCTTGGCTGTCATCGTTACATCCCAACAAGCACCCTACAGCTGTAACAAGCAAAAAGGACTTCAGCCATCGCCCTGTGGGCTGCAGGGAAGCGGCCCGAATGAGAGCCCTGGGTTTAAGCTGATCTGTTCACTCAGCTTTGCTGAGGAGTCCGTGCTGGAGACTTCCTCTAGGGGGCGATGTTCGTAACTCCTGACCTGCCATTTCTCTTCTCAACCCTCGTTGCCGTCACTTGTTCTTAAAGCTTCTATCTGTGCCCATCCCTCTCCTCTTCCTCTTTTCCTATCTTTCCCTCCCTTTATTTTCCCCCATATTATTAAAAATACATATTCATATGCTTCAAAGTAACAGGCATAACACTCCAATATATGAAGATATCACAACAGAGCAGCAGAAGAAAAAGAAAAATATGAATCTTCTATGATTCACAAGTATTGACACAGGCCGGGAGCTGCAGTTACCTCCCGGTATGCTTGTCTCACTTAGAGATCATTTCTTTGTGTCTTCTGTGTGTTAACTGCCACAGATCCAAGAGAATGCGTGATATTTGCCCGTTTGGCACTGTCTCATTTTACCAGTGGTTTTCAGGTGGATCCTTTTTGTTGCAAAAGGCTTCATACTCTCTGTGGCTGAATAGTGGTCCATACTGTACATGTACCACATTTTCTTTACCTGCTGATCAGTTGATGGGCACCTGAGTTGGTTCCTTATCTTAGTTATCGTGAGTTAGGCCGCTATACAGGGGGTACAGATAACTCTCTTACACGCAGATTTCATTTTGTTTGACTGTTTTCCCAGGAGTGAGATGACTGGGTCGTATGATAGATCTGTTTCCAGATTTCTGAGAAATGCCCGTACTGCCTTCCACAGTGGCTGCACCCGTGATGTGTCCATGTAGAAACCTGGCTTGTTCCAAGTTGTGAGGAAGCAGCAAGACAGAGCATGGAAAGCTACAGCTGTGGGAACGGATGCACTACGGATAAAGTAATACTAACATTTGTTACAGATAAAGTAATACTAATAAGCCACACACTCTACTTAGCATTTAAATGCGTTATTTAATTCCTGCAACAATCCGGTAAGGCAAATTTTATTAATAGTCCCATTTTACAGATAAGGAAACAAGCATGTGAGATTTAAATATCTTGCCTGAGCTTACATAGCTGCCAGGATTTGGATTCACTAAAATTTTTTTAATCCATTCTCAGAAATTTCTATTTTGAATCGATCATTGTCATTATTGCCACTACGTAGTCATGAAGCACTAGTGTCTTAGCATTAAAGATACTTCTAGAAACTGTCCTTTTTTCCAAAGTCAAGGGACACTTTGGAAGAACCCGAGAAGTTAGAGATGATAATCTAAGAAACAAATCTGCTTTTCTTGTGGGACAGAAGTTCTCTTAGATTTCCCACTTCCATAACCCTTGCATCTTAGAGCCTGCCTTGCCGCCACCCACTTCAATGGGGGAATGAAATCAGAGAATCCCCAGATCTGGCTTCCTGCACCCACAGAAGGGATCAGCCAGGGAGGAATCCTCCAGACATCTCCCTCTTCTCCCATCCTAGGGCTGGGGCTCATGCAGCGGAACACAGCCTCAGGTCTAAGGAATTATGTCCTGTTCCGTCCTCCCAGCCGCTTCCCTCTCTCTAGGATAAGGGTGGAGCCGTTGTACTTACTGGGAAAGAACCAGTCGTTCAGCCGTAGCCCCTGGGCGTTCACCAAGAGGATGGACAGCAGCAGGATGCTCAGAAGTCCCATGAACTTCATTCTGAAGAAGGGTTGTCTAGTCTGGTGTTTCCAGAACATGGAAGCTTCTGGCTACCTGGATCCTGCTTACTTCTTCACTGGCCAATTCTTTTGGATATGTGAACTGGAGGCGAGCCAGCCACCCCCTTTCTTGCTGGGAACGCCAAGTTCTCGAGGTCAAAGATGGAATGAATGGACATTCATAGCCCACAGCTCCAGGGGAAGCCCCCGCTATTGGCTGGTTCCTCAGTTTTAATCCTGTGGGGGCTGCACAGGGCTAGGCCTTCTGGTCAACCACGGGGCGAGAACGAGGCTTGTCTTACACTTGGCAGGCTGCTTTAGAAGGTGATACCACCGTTGCATTGTTGACAACTTAGAAAGTCATCAGACTCTCCGTCCATTTCGCAGTTCCCATGCACCCGGACATACTCCTTGTTTTTCTCTTACACTGTGATTCTATTTATCTCTCCATATCTCTTTGGATGTTTTGTGTCTGATTTTTCCCCCTTCTTTCTGCGGGACTCCCATGTGCTCTGCGGTGCTCTCCCACAGTTTCCTCCTGTCTTATTTCTTCCTTTTTATCTTCTCTTGGGTTCAGCACAGATCTTTCAACAAAGACTCCAAAGTCAAGATGTTCCCAGAGAGTAATGTGGAGGAAGCATCAAGCTGATAACACACAGGCGTTGTCAAAGCCACAGTGACTTAGAGAGTGGGAGAGAAGTCACAGCTTGCTGAGAGCATCTACCGTCCAATGCTAACCCCTCGCCCTCTTAGAAACGATGAAACGAGGAGACTCACCCGAGACACTTCCACTGAATTAAAATCAACAACACAGTAGCGTCACTGCATAACCAGCTAGGAGGGAGGACCAGTAGAGAAGTTACTGGAAGGAGGGCCTCAGAAAACGTGGGTAGCTTCGTCACAGTCAAGGGAACCACAGCCACTCAGTCAGTGCTGGTAGAGAGATGCTGTTCAGAGAGCAATTGTTAATGCAAGGAGAGGTGAGTGGGGACTGGGGTCCTGGGTGAACGGTGAGCGGACAGACGCACGAATGTACAGACCGAATGGTTGGTGAATAGAAAGGCAGCTAAATATGATTGTGCAAATGAAAATGTTCACCAAAGTTAAAGGCACTAAAATTACATAAAGTACCATATAATCAAAATAGAGAAAACACATCATTTTCATAAAAATGGGAAAATTCACACAAGAGGAGGTAACAGACTGTGAGATGAAGTACTGTTAAGGCATTGACTACACCACCGCACACACGCCTGGTCGAGATGCTTTTGAAGTCGAGTTTTGCATAGCCTTTCAAGCACAGATTAGATACAGCATGAAAAATAGTTCGGTTCAGAGAAGAGGTAGGTAAGCTTCCTGTGTTAGTTTTTTTTTTTTTTTAAAAAAAGTAAGTGCTATGACCCACATAGCAAAAACGAATAGAAACATACCCCATGTGACCAAAATTATTCCAAGGCAAGATGGTTCACCATGTGACAGTTTAATAATATGTTTATGTTAAGTTGTTGTGTCAAAAAGAAGGAAGAGAGAAATCGATGACTAGACGCTTCAGTGGTGTCTGACAAAATTCAGCACTCATTTTCAGGAACCGCTATAAATGGATGACCAGATAGCCCGAGTGCAATGCAAGGCATTTTTCCACAATTCAATAACAAACATGTTTTTATGCAGCAGTCACCTTTAACTATAAATATGGAACCCTAGAGGTGGGTCTTTGCTGAGCAGTTAAACCGCCACACGGGACACCGGGGTTCCTTTGTCAAGAGTGCCTGGGTTGAAGTTCGGACTCGCATCTCCATCCCAGCCACCTGCCAATGCACACCTAGGGATGCAGCAGGTGGTGGGGTGAGTACCTGAGTTCCTGTGCCACAGGAACAGACCCAGACCAAGTCCTTGAGTGTTCTGGGAATTTGGGAGAATAAATCATTTGCTAGGAGATTCTCTTTCTCTCTTTCAAATAAATAGATGGATATTTTAAAGATACAATAAAATAGTTTTGAATTCGTTTATTTAGTACTCAAATCAAATTTCCTATGTAAATATTATATACGTGTGCTTTTACAAGCTATTTTTCTTGAAAGCAGATATTAATATCACATGAGGATCATGACTGGGATTATAGCATAAAGAAAGAAGGGCATATTATTATGTAAAAGGCACAGTTCATGACGACGTAAAGGCACGCCAATACCTATATACCGAATCACGTGACATCCACACGATGTTTCGTTGTCTGGATGTTAACTTCCACACACGAGAGATGCAGAATTTGTCCTTTGGGGGAGGTCTGAATTATCTTAGCATGATGATCTCCCATTCCATCATTCTTGTTGCAAATGCCATTTCACTCTTTTTTCATGGCTGAGTAATAGTCCATCATATATATAAATCACATTCTCTTTTCCATTCCTCAGTTAAAGGACATTCAGGTTGATTGAATATCTTTGCTACTGTGAAAAATAAAATAAAATAAGGAGCTATGCAGTAATAGATCCCACTACCTTTATTTTCAAAGTTATTTCATAATCCTATATAACATAAGAAGATAAGAAAACCAAGTCAGAAAGTTCAAAAAAGAAAAGCCAAATACACCATCACATTAAGATAATATGATTATATCTAAAACCACAATACTCCAGTAGTAATACTGTTATACCTAAAGAGCTAATTTGGGGGACCACCATAGCGTAACAGGCTAAGCTTGTAGTTGTAGTGTCCGCATCCCATATGGGGTACTGGTTCGAGTCCCAGCTGCCTCACTTCTCCCCTGCAGCCGTGTGGGAGACGCTAGAGAAGCTACTGGCTCCTGGCTATATATCAACCCAGCTCTGGCTGTAGCAGCTTCGGGGAGTAAACCAGCAGATGGAAAATGTCTGGTTCTCCTTCAAATCTGCTTTTCAAATAAAAAGATTTTCTTTTTCAAAAAAGCTAATTTGGCAAAGTATATACAAAACAAGGAAGAATGCGAGACTCTCATTAGACTACTCACAGCGAACTGTGGCGATGGGGACATTTCCCACTTACCGCTTGGATTTTGGGTTCCAGACACCGCAGCCCGCAGTACAAGCAGCACTTCTGATGCAGCGGGCAGTCGTCGTCTTGCAGGCACATGGGCTCACTGATCTGGCCACATTCTTTGGGCCTCTGAGGGCAGAAACCCAGTTTACCTTGAGGAGGTAAAATACCATACAATCTTCATCACTTGAGACAAACTTGGGGTACCCCAAATGGTTCTGTTCTGATTAACCCTCTTTCCTCTCCTCCTATGGCAACAGTGGAGTGGGGGAGGCTGAATATCAACTCTCTGGAGTTGACAATTTGAAGAGCATCCAAAAAGTGCTATCGTCTCAGACTTTTCCAATCTGTTAGGATCCCTGTTGGCCCCAACAGAGCTCACGGATCTCAATTCTTTAACCCACTGAGTGCCCAGAACTTCCTCCTCCCTTAATTAGAGTTGAGGATCACGTAAGGGGAAATGAGCCATCTTAGGCCAGCAGAAACACTGAAGTTGAAAAAGGCTACCATACTCCTAGCACTCTCACACTTCAAACACCAGCAGTTCCCGGAGCCATGTTGGGGGATGTGTCCTTTCAGCCTTAGACGTGTGAAAGTCAGTGTCTACCACAAAAGCACACGGCACGTCGGTCTGTCTTGTAGGATGTGGTTGTGAAGCGCCAGCTCTGGAGTTCTGTGCAGACACGCGGGCTTACTAGGAAAACGTCAAGTGCTTATGATGCGTGTGTGCTAGTGTGTGTATGCGAGGGATGCCACCTTGCAGTTCCCTAAAGAATGAGACTCAGAACAAATATGCTCTATTGAGGAAGAATTGAGGGTTGAGGGCCCAGTGCGGTAGTCTAGCGGCTGGGGTCCTTGCCTTACAGGCGCTGGGATCCTGGGTCTAGTTCCAGTGGCCCTGCTCCCCATTCAGCTCCCTGCCTGTGGCCTGGGAGGGCAGTGGAGGATGGCCCAAAGCCTTTGGGATCCTGCACCCATATGGGAGACCCAGAAGAGGCTCCTGGCTTCGGATTGGCTCAGCTCCGGCCATGGCGACCACTTGGGAAGTAAATCAGTGGCTGGAGGATCTTCCTCTCTATCTCTCCTCCTCTCTGTATATCTGACTTTGCAATAAAAATAAAACGAATCTTTTAAAAAAAAATGGAGGGTGGAATCACACGTGGTTGGCTTGGGGGAACAGCCCACTAGCATCAGGTCAGTGTGGGGGCACAGATCGGATGTTGAAAGGGGACATGTTTCCTATAGATCTCAACAATCAGTCAATCCAAGGGCCACATGAGGATCAAGGGTCTCCCACTCCCATTCAGTAGGAAAGACAGTATCCTTGGAATATGCCCTGCAGGATTTGGGAGGTGTATCCCCAGTTCTCACCTGACCATGCCTTGGCACAAATAGGACCACAAGTGGTTTCACAGCATTTTTCTCTGTCGGAGCAATCAACGTCATTCATACACAATGGTGGACACTCCATGCGGGAACCAGAAGGGAAGAAAGGGCACTGTCCAATCTTGACTAACACAAAAGCAGACATGAGCTCTGGCCGACACCATCCCACGTGCCACCCTTCCAATGGCTGTGGCTGTTTCTGAAACTCGGTTCACCATTTCCTGAGCAGACCCCAGCATTGCTCAGGGCTTATCCCCATCCCTTCAGGGCTTATAGCAGAAAGAACACTTGGCTTGGAGTCTGAAGTCCCAGCTGGGGCCCCAGAGTAGCACATTAAGCTGCAGAAGCTGCCAACATTCCATATGCCATTCCCTGGTTCGCATCCCTGCTGCCCTACTTCCCATCTAGCTCCTTACTTATGGCCTGGGAAAGCAACAGAGGATGGCTCAGGTCCCTGGGCCCCTACACCAACATGGGAGACCCCGACGAAGCTCCAGGCTCCTAGCTTTGGATCAGTTCAGCTCTGGTCCTTGAGGCTATTTGGGGAGTAAATCATCGGATGGAAGATCTTCCTGTCTCTCCTCTCTGTATATCTACCACAAGATCACCTTGATCTGTCAGAGACGTTGAGTCCATGAAGTTAAAACTCCAGTTGTACCCCTTGGGCAGCTAACTGTCCCTCTCTAACTCCGTGTCCTCATCTGTCAGGTAGTGCTCATGGCACATTTCCCAGCCTGCCCCATGGAACCTGAGGTCAAAATTCCAGCGCTGACTTAGCAAGCACACAGTGCTGCACTGCAAGGATCAGAGGTCCTAGTCTCATTCATAGCCATGGGGACCAGCAAAATGTGGCAAGTCTTTATCTTTGAGCCCCTATAATCCTACCAACAACACAATGAGGTATCTGCCATTATTTCAGTATTACAGAGGAGGGAAGCGAGGACTTTAATTCAGTGCACTTGCCTCCTAAGCTTTTTAAGACTGTCCTCTTACATTACTGATGATGGTCATGGTGCTAAATAATTCAGCTCCGGCCTTCACCATCACCCCACCCATGCTCTTCTCCATGTGGAGTGTCCTGGCCTGCCTGCGCTGGGGGATGCGCAGTGGGTGGATGTGATAAGGAAATGCCTTCCTCCAAGCAGGTCGACCTTGACTTTCCCACTGGCCAACATTTGCTTTACAGGAACTGTCTCATTTTTGCTGAAAAACCTCCATCAGAAAAATGCCATTATTCTCCCCCATTTAGTACATAAGCAAACTGAAACTCATTACTGGGGCAACTGGGCCGGACCTCCCATCCGGTGCCTAACGGAGCTCTGGCTTGAGCCAAGGAAGTTTTACCCCAAACCCTGAGTGTCTGACTCTACCCACACACTATTTCTAGTACAACCTGGACCTCAGGCTGCCAAGGCCATGGTCCTCACCAGTATTCTTGCAGGCTTTCTGGCAGTCGGCATTGGTGGGGAAGTTGTTGGCGTTCCCAAGGCAGCCTCCGTATAAAAAGAGTTTGCACTCTTGATGTTCATAGTCAAAATACCAGTGCCACCTCTTGTTGTGACAGGGTCCTGGCTCAGGGGCCAGTGTGCAGGGTTCTGAAAGCAAGAAGCAAATAAAAGGGACAGATGAAAGGAAGACATGTCAGGCTCCCAGTCCAGATCCGGTGTTTCACCCAAGTTATAGACGACGCCACAGGGGCTGGCGCGTAGTGACCAAAATGCTGCTTGGGATGCCTGCCTCCCACGCTGCAGTGCCTGGGTTGGCGCTGTGCCTTTGTGTTTGATTCCAGCTTCCTGTTAGGGTGCAGAAGGGATGGCGCAAGCAACCAGGCTCTCTGCCATCCCCGTGGGGTATCTGGATTGAGTGCCAGGCTTTAGGTGTCAGCCTATCCCAGCCTCAGTTTTTGTGGGCACTTGGGGGAGGCAATCCATGGATGGAAGACCTCTCTGTGTCACCCTTGTTCTCTTTCTGCTATTCAAATAAATAAAATAGCGCTTTTTCAATAACACTCTTCAGCCAGGAAAAAGGCATAGGTTCTGTTCCTAGCCCTGCTGCTAATACTCTGTGTTTTAGGTCATCTCTGAAAGCCGGGTTCTGCCTTGAAAAGGAAACCAAGAAGAGCATATGAAAACACTCAGGGCTGATCTGTCTTCTCTGACATTCACAGCTGAGCTACTTTGATGCCACTGGACGTAAAATATTTCACAGAGCTGGTGTTGTGGCACAGAAAGTTAAGCTTCAGCTTGCAGTACCGGCATCCCACACGGGACCCAGTTCATATCCCAGCTACTCCACTTCTGATTCAGCTCCCTGTTTATGACCTGGGGAAGCAGTGGGGGAAGGCTTAAGTCATTTGGCTCCTACATGCATGTGAGAGACCCGGAAGAAGGTCCAGGCTTCCAGCTTTGAATCAGTCCAGCTCTGGCTATTGCAGTCATTTGAGGAGTGAGCCAGTTAATGGAAGATGTCTCTCTCTCTCTCAGATCTTTCTCTCTGATTGCTCCTCTCTCTCTAATTGTGCCTTGCAAATAAAAATAAACATTAAAAAAGCGTACATAGGACTTCCACAGGAAGTGAAGAAAATTCAGCTCACTGGGAAACGCAGCAGATACAACACACTTCTCTTTCCTGGTTAACAGAAGTGGCTTATACCTTACCTATTAATGACAGCTTTTTAAATTTAATTGGAAAGTAAGATATACAGAGCGGAGGAGAGAGAGAGAGAGGAAGATCTTCCATTCACTTATTCACCGCCCAAGCAGCCACAATGGCCAGAGCAGAGCCAATCCAAAGCCAGGAGCCAGGAGCCTAGAGCCTCTTCCAGATCTCTCACGAAGGTGCAGGGTCCCAAGGCTTTGGGCCATCCTCGACTGCTTTCCCAGGCCACAAGCAGGGAGTTGGATGGAAAGCGGTATCTCCAGGATTAGAACTGGCGCCCATATGGGATCCTGGTGCATGCAAGGTGAGGACTTTAGCCATTAGGCTACTGCACCAGGCCCACTAATCACAGCTTTAAGCTCACTTTACAGTGCCCTTGCCATGGAGAAGATTCACAGAGATGCCCAGCCACAGGGTTACACTTACACTATGAGGGCTCCTAATCTTTGGAATCCCTTCACTTGTTTTAAAATGTTCATTTGTTTGAAAGGCATAGAAATAGACAGAGGGGAAATGGAGAGAGAGATCTCCCATTCATTGGCTTGTCCCTCCAAGTGGCCAGTGTAGTCAGGCCAAGGTCTGGAGCACAGAACTCAACCAAGGCACCTTACATGGGCAGCAAAGACCCAACCTGCTGTCTTGGAGTGCACAATGGCACAAAGTTGGACTGTGGAGCAGAACTGGCATCCCAGCTTAGACACTCCGATACAGGATGTGACCACCACAGAGCTCAGCCCCCTCAGGTTCTTCCTCCAAATTTACACGAGTTTCTGTAGAGTCATATCCTCCGTGGTTCTCTAAGGTGACTACTCTCACTGCAACGAGCAATAAATTCAATTTTTTCAACTGCAGGTATGGTCTAAGTGGGCTTTGTCGACAAGGTATTGACAGTTGGTATCAGTTGACTGAATGAGCAAATTTTTGTAGAATTCAGTTCTCCAACAGTTTCAGTCCACCACCCCCCCCCCAAAAAAACCCTCCTTGAAGACCAAAAAGTTCAAAACCAACCCCAGTACTTAAACTGATTGAGGTCGGCTGCCTTGCCAACCACAGTCTCTCTCACACAGTAGGCATGTCAACAGTCAGCCATTAGTGAATGATTGAACAGTGGGCTAAAGAAGACTGGCATCAATTCATCCAGTTATGGGCACCATGCCTGGACTCATGGTTTATACTTGAGAATCGAGGAAGAAAGGGATTAAGGATGGAAAAGGTATGAACGCAGGCCTCTTGGTCTGCCGTGCAGAGCACTCGCTCAGCCGGTGCTGGCCAGGGCGAGAAGTGGGAAACTTCACAGGGCACAATGCCCCTACCTTGGAATGGATCCAGACACTTCTTCTTACAGGCGAAGTAGCAGCACTTCAGGTATTCCTTGCAGTGGAAATCCGTTTTGCATGAGCCCAGAACTTTAGTTTTACAAGTGAGTCTGTCCTTGGGGCATAATCCTGGCTTACCTGCAAAAAAAAAAAAGTCCAAGTGGACATTGGTTGAAAGTTTTAGCTCTTCTCCTCCCGGGCCAGAGGCAGGGAGTGGGGTTCTCCCAACATCGACTTCTACCTGTCCTGCTGATTTTAGAGATCAGACGGGCGTCTTACAAGTCTTCACTAACTCAAACGAACCTGAATCAGAAATGCACAGGCAGACAGAAGGAGAACATCTTTGGAGGATTTCCCTCTCTGTTCTGGAAGCCTAAGATTCTGTCGCTTAACTCCTCTGCCTCTCGCATCTTAGTTAGAAGGAAAAATCAGCGTGGAGTAGTGGCGCTATTGTGGATATAGGAATTGGGAAATCTGACTTTAGCACCTGACAGCCGGTAAACTCAGGGAGGACCAATCTAAATTCAGTTGTGCGACTTGTAAATTACCTCTAACTCCAGGTGATCATTTGGGGGGGGGGGCGGGCGTGCAGGGAAGACAGGTGAGAGAAGACTGGAGGGCCCAGGGTGGCAAGCAGGGGAGCTTTGTATTTCTGAATCCACAGTAATGGTGTCCTTCTTCAACACCAGTCCTTGCCGCACGTCCAGCCCCCGGTTCCCAAGGCTATTGCCTAAGGAAGAATGGCCACAGCTCCTTAGAACCCACTTGTCATTCTCCTAGGTGGTGATGCGGAAGTCTGCTCTAGAGGCAGGAAGAGAAGCAGCAGGAGGGCCACGTTCTTGCAGGAGAGGGGCGTGCCGTCCAGAGGAGAGTACCTGTGAAGGGGGATAGGGGCAAAGTGAGGCAGACTCCTGAGAGAGACCCAATACAGGGTGGGAGGAGCCCAAGCAATGATGTGCCAGATGGTCTAAGTTCACGGAGGAGACCACCAAGATCCTGAGTGGGAAGAGGGTTTGTCTGAGGTCAGGTGGGTGAGTTAGGGCAAGCCTGAGGCAGGCAGGTGCCTCCCCGTGCTGCACTTTGTCCTTGGCAGACACCTGCCCACTGTACTGCTCCCAGATCCACGCCTGACTGATCACAGGAACCTCTTGGGAACAGCTGCATAATTGCAGAGTTGATTGGCTCACGGTCACCTGGAAGGCAACCCCAGACCCAGGCAAGAGCCTTTTACTCCTCCCTACAGACCCAGGTGGCTGGAATCTGTCAGACTCTCCTGGGTCTGGTGTTCCAGGAGCAAAAATGATCCCCGATGACCACGGGTTAACAAAGAGATTCCTCATCCAAGCCAGGGATCTTCTGATAGCGTCGGACAACCGGATAGACACAACACACAGGAGAGAGAGGCAGAGAGAGAGATTAAAGAGGGAAAGAGAACTGTATGACAGGTGTGCATCTGTATTGGTGAAACTTGCTCAAGCTTAAAGCCATACAAATACATGGGAATAGCATTTCCAGAGCTCCTGAAGTCATAGTATGTGTCTAATTAAAGATTTATGGCAATTTATTCTCCAATTCGCCAATCCATCCCCCTTTTTCTTTTTTCCCCTAGAAATTTATTCCTGTGTTCTCCCAAATTTTTACCACAGACTCTGGAATTTTCCATAATAATAATAATTACGACCTCAAACCAGTAACCTTGACTTTGATCCTGGCTTGGTCATGTATAATTGCAGCCTATCTTGGATCTCAGTTTCCTCATCTGGAAAATGGGAACAACGCAGCCCACTGGGCAGTGTCCCAGTGATTGCGAAGATTAAAACGAGTCCTTACTTTATCTTTGCTCCATCTCAGACCTAGTGAAGTTTAACCCAAACACTAAGTTTTCCACCATCCCACACATTGCATTAAATCTTCACCATCCCCGCTGAATCCTACAGCTCTGAGTTCCAAACAAAGGAAGGATTCCTGAATTAGCATTCAGAAAGGCAATGGTTTCCACAGGGATGTATGTCACATTTGTTTGAATTGAAAAATGAAGTCAGTTTTCTAGTGGAAGGAGGAGAATCTGCTTTGGGTGACTAAAGTATTGGATTTGCCAATTTATCAGGTAAGATATCGATATTAAATATGTATCCACTTAAACCATGAAATGAAAGTATTTTATCAAACATTTATCAAGGGACTATCAAAAGTAATAATACCCATAATACAGAAAAAATAAAATTATGTGAGCTGCTTACAATAATTAAAGGTGTAGTTAACAACCTCATTAATCACTTGATGAATTCTAATAAACATTACTTCCAAACTTTCTAGAAATTAAAGGAATCACTTGTATTTGTGGTTGATATCCTAGCTACTAGGAAACAAGTTCTTTTGTAAGTATTGGTTTCCAATTTGATACCTTCAAGAAAATGGAAGACAAGGTTAACCAAGCTTTTAATACCTAAATAATATCTTTAAAATAATTTTAATGAGAGTATTGTATGAGTTTGGGCAATTTACTAGAAGTTCACAGAACCAAATTATGTGCTAAAACAAAGCTTGATATTTTCCCATGTATTTACGTATCAGTTACTGATATATTACCAGAACAGTCTTATCAAGAGAATGTTGTTGGCACATTGTTAGTTTATTTCATTGCATGATGATTGTCTAATTGTTTCAATAATTTACAGATTAAGAAGCCACCCCACAAAATAAAAAACTATTCCTGGATAATTATGGTCATAGTAAATGGAAAAATTAAATTTTAGCTTATGTACATATTTTACTCATAGCTAAATGATAATGGCCTAAATAAAAGACTTTGGGGCATAGGACTGTATTTCACCAGATTTGAAATATCTATGGTATAGATGGTTTGGAGCTATGATTGAAGGAAAGAAAAACTTCTAAATTCTCTAGAATTTTTTTTCAGATATTTTCAGATGCATATTATTGTTATCAAATTATTATGGCATTTTGATTTCATAAATTCAGCCAAAAGAGCCAAATGACAGTTTTTAAAAGTAATATTGACAATATTATTTCTGATATATGGATATTCAGTAGGTTGTTAATCCACTCACTAGTTAATTGGCATTTGGGCTGCTTCCAGATTTTTGTAATTATGAATAAATCTTTCACAAACATTTATACACAGACTTTGATGAAATAAATTTAAGAAGACATGAAACAATGAAAAGATATCCCATGTTCATGGATTATATTATTAAAATATATTGTTCAAATGTATATACTACACAGAACCTACCTTTTTGCCATGCTTTCCCAAGATGCTGGACTCGCCCCCTGCTGTAAACTAAGGCGCATTTTGGGATCAGAAGATCCACAGATGGCCAGCAGCAGGAGGAACAGTGCAATTCCCGGACTCTAACCCAGCTGCAGGCAAGTCATCACATCCCATCCCAGCCCTCCCCTTTGTCCCTCCCTGGTGCACACTCAGCCCCAGGTCCTGTTCTCATAGCTGAGAGCTCCTTCCCCATGTCCCTTCCCACCCTAACCAGTGTGACTGCTCAACCAGCAAAGTACCTGTAGCCTGGCCAGGAGAGCTTGAGTACAGCCAGATACACGGGCCCAAGACAGTCACCCCCTGCTAGTGCAGGTAACACCGAGGACTTGTGCTCTTTCTGCACAGGGCGGGCTCTGCCCTCTTGCTCTTCCTCAGCAGACTTGCTCTGCACCCCTAAAATGGACACGTTGCAGGAGCCCCAAGTCTGGAGGGGCTTAGAGGAGTTGTACCTAACACTCACCGCCAACTGGTCACCAGGCTCTTGGCGGTTTGGGCTGATTTTTGCACAGCAGGACACAGAGCGGCCAGCAAGGAGATGCTGGCAAACCAGAACATGTCAAGGTCACAGAGCCTCATGGCAGAGGTCAAGGCACAGCCTGTCTGCGGTTTATTGGTTTTTGTTGAGTGGAGGGAATGGCTGTTTGTTTCTCCCGCCTGTTCTGTATTTAACCGTGGCTGGAAGGGAAAAGGCAGTTTCTACTCTGAGGTAGAGATTGGTCCCCATTCCTCACAACCAAACTAAACCACATACGCTTCCAGAGAGCATGGCCCACAGCAGCTCCCGTCACCACAGTGCAGGGCATTGACCATATGTCCAGCGAGTCTCTGCTTGCTCTGCCCCTCCCTGGTGTCTGCTAGGTTCAGTCTGAAGCGGTCACCACCCTTCCTTGGCCTAAGCAGGTGCACACAGTGACACCCCCTCACCTGCGGGACGGTCCTTACCACTGTCCAGATACCTGGTGCGCACCCTAGAATCTCCTGGAAATTGTTTCTTCTTTCAGAGCAGTATTTTTTAAAAAGAGATTTATTTATTTTTATTGGAAAGGCAGCTATACAGCAGAGAGATGGAGATACAGAGAGGAAGATCTTCTATCCGATGATTCACTCTCCAAACAGCTGCCAACGATCAGAGCTGAGTCAATCCGAAGCCAGGAGCCAGGAGCCTCTTCCAGATCTCCCACACGGGTGCAGGGTCCTAAAGTTTTGGGCTGTCCTTGACTTTTTTCCCAGGCCACAAGCAGGGAGCTGGATGGGAAGTGGAGCAGCCAGGATATGAACTGGTGCCCCTATGGGATCCCAACACGTGCAAGATGAGGACTTTAGCCACTAGGCTACTGTGCTGGGCCCTTCAGAGCAGTGTTTACTTTTGAATACTTCCCACACCTGTTTATCTAAACATTAGATAAATGAAGGTAGCAGTCTGGAAAGCGAGCTTGGATGAAAAGGCCAATAGCATCTCCTTTCAGTGAGACCATTGATGCCTGTTAGGTAAGATTGTGTCTCTGTGGATTAGCCTGTGGAGACCCACCAGAGCCATAGCCCCAAAGCAATGGGAAGAAGGTTTCGTCCATGTATGGCGAACCCAGGGGGCAGTGTTTACTGTAGCCATGCAAACATCCCCCCCTCCCCCTGCACACATGGTCCCTCAGGATGTTCAGCCAGCAGCAGAAATGAGTCGGGTCCAGGAGTCCTGGCTCAGGGGACCAGGCCTCTAAAGGATAAGCAATCAGGAACACAAAAATTAGGGCTCAGGGCCTGGGAGCTTGGGCAAAAGATAGGCAAAGATTCAGGACAGTAAATTATTTCTGGAACTACAGAAGAAGCAGAGGTCTTGGGACATCATGAAAGTTTATTTGGCAAGGACTCCAGGCTGGGTTGCTCCTAGAATGGCTCGGGGAGGAGGGTGGGCAGGTCACAGAGACCTTACCCCCAGGGAGCACGTCCTCCCTCCCAAGCCGGTGGTCCTCATGGCGCCCTCGTGGTGCTCTCCGAGCACCTGCCAGGCAGGAGTCTCCATCTCTCGCCTGGGTGCCAAAAGGCTCAGTCTTCGACAATAGGCTGTTCATTTCCTAGTCCAGCTTGTTGCTCACTGGAAGCGGGAAAGGACAGCAGTTCGGCAGCCACACCATCTGGAGAAACAGGTTTCTGTGAGCTCAGGAGTCCTTCCAAACCCTGGGAGTAGAGGCTCTTCTGTGCTTTGGAGACCACCCCATCAGCCGTCTCCCAGAACGTTTGGAATCCAATCCTCCTAGGGCTCTGAGACTTGGGGAAAGCTTGGGTGCCCAGAAGGGATCGGAGCGCACAGCTGGGGAGGCACAGACAGCTCCTTGTCCCCCCACAGTCTGGAGAGCACGACCTCCGAGAGCGACCCAAGAGGGAAAGAGCTCCTACCGGCTTACTGGGGAAGCATCTGTTCCCGCAGAGGGCGCTGCAGCAGTGCCGGCCTCGCGCACCTTGCCGAGGCTTGGTGGGGAGGCTCAGCTTGGGAGACTTAGAGCAAGTGAGCAGTGACCCCCACGAGAAGAGGATCCCTCACCCACGATCCTCAGGTCGCAGACCCTCAGGTCCCAGGACTCAACTCCAGCCCTCCCTTCCTCTCTCCTGGCCCTGCCACTCCAGCCATGCCCTCAATGAGTTGGGATTCACAAATCCTGTTTCAAATTCTCAGAATAAAGAGTGGGAAATTTTTCTAGATTCCTGTCTTTCTTGACAAGGTAGGAAAAGAGAAATAAAATACTCTCCCCCCCCAAAAAAAACAGCCTTCTGCCCTTCTCATTGGGCTGACTCCACCCTCAAAAACTCAGCCCTTCCTGGAAACCTCTGGCTGGCTATGTGCCCACACCTGCCCTTCAATTCCTCCGCCGATTTCGCCCATTTTACCCCCTTGTTCCAAACGTCTCCCCTTCAAGCAGGCACCTTTCCCTCGTCTTCCCATGCCCAATGTTCTGCAACATTCAATTCCCTTGATTAAAAAAAAAAAAAAAAAGGCAGGGGAGGGACACATGTTTCAAGAAATAGTTAGTGCCCCTTTCCCAATTTTGTATTCAAGTTCCTCACTGTTAATTATGCGGCTGAGCAAAATCCCATACGGCCATCCCAACCCCCACCCCAACTGTGCAGTGTCTCGCGTGCCTCTGGGAGACCCTCAAGTCGGAAAACTAAGCATTCCCTGGCTTAAAAAAAAAAAAAAGAAAGGAAAGGAAAGGAAAGGAAAGAAAAGAAAGAAAAGAAAAGGAAAGAAAAGAAAAGGAAAGAAAAGAAAGAAAAGAAAAGGAAAGGAAAGAAAAGAAAAGAAAAGAAAAGAAAAGAAAAGAAAAGAAAAGAAAAGAAAAGAAAAGAAAAGAAAAGAAAAGAAAAGAAAAGAAAAGGCAGTGTTATCGATGTGTCTGGTCCTTGCAGGCGGGCCAGGGAAAGTTCTGCGGCTTCCTCCCCACGACTCAAATCAGATCCCAGCCAAGACACTTACTGTAATCAGGAAGTTCAATTTCTGGATGAACTCTCTCTTTCCATGTCCCGGACACTGGCAGGACAAGCAGGCAGAGGAGTGTCAGGAACTGGAGAATCAACCACTTCATAGCAGGGTACCAGGGCAGTGGAATGAGGCTGGCAGGAGCCCCAGCAATGGGTCAGGCCCAGCTGGGGGTAGAAGAGGCTGCAGGCGGGGTTGGGAGAGCACCTGACTGGCCTCTCACTGCCCTAGCTCCTTCTGCCTCCTCCTTTCACCGCTCCCTGGCTGACCATTGGTTTTTCATGAAGCATTTTATGTCGCTCATGTCTCCTAAGGATTTCTCTCTACAGAAATTAGTTTCTAACAACTATTTATATATATTTAATTTCTGCTGTTTGAACAAGAGATGAGTATCTGTTACGCATTATCTGCAGAGAGCACCTGTGGATAATTTAGTATACATTCTTCCAGCCCTTGTACATTAGCTGTGTCATATGGTACTATTTTCTTTAAGAACGTTCTTGATTTTCTTTTTCGTTTCTTCAGAGACACATTAGTAATTCAGTAGCGTGTTATTTATTTTCATGGAGTTGTGAATTTCTATTTTTCTTCCCACTGCTGATTTTCACTAAGGGGATATATAGTAACTGTGTAATGGAGGCTATCATATCCAGATGTGAGGATACAATGCAGTATGCATCTCTACTTCCAGATCACAGATGGACTCCCAATGACACTGTGAAATACATCTTGACAATAAGATGCTGGACTCTGCCATCGTCCACGCCTGCAGGACACACTTAAACGAATGAGTGTTTATGAAGAACTATAGTATTGTAACAATATAGGGGATATAAGTGTGTGTGTGAGGGGAGGTTTTGGAGAGGGGTGAGGGAAATCCCAGAGCCTATGGAACTGTATCATAAAATAATAATAAAATGAAAAACATACCTCTTCAAAACTTTATTTTCCCTTTTTCTATTCTTTTATGATTTACTTGCTAAGTATTCTTTACATACACTTGAGTCTTCTGAGAAGTGCATGCACTGCAAATATGTTCTCCCTAGAAAGTTTCTCAGTTCTGTCAAGGCACATATTATTCAACCTAGCAGTTTTGCCTTTGAAAAAATATATTTTCTAATTCTTTATTGAAATGATCAATTTGTGTTCCTGGAGACTTTATATTCATGTCAGTGCATCTGAATGAAAGCAACCACCTCTCCTGGTCATTTCTTCCTGACTTCTTTTTTTTTCCCTCCAACCTTGGTGTTAACAGTGAGAAGGAAAGACAGAGAGGATGTTCCACCCCACGGTTCTCCCCTGCAAAGGCTGCAATGGCCAGAGCTGAGCTAATCCAAGGCCAGGAGCTGGGAGCGTCTTCTGGGCCTCCCACAGTGGGTTTCCAAGACCTTGAAGGCTGTTCTCAGCTCTCCCAGCCATCAGCAGGGCGCTGGATGGGACGCGTCAAGAAGTTGTGTGCACTGCTGGTGCCGTAAGAAGCTTAGTCCACTGTGCCCGGGCACGGGCCCCCTTCTTGATGTTTTACAAAACAAGTCCTTCTCCATTTGGTCCATAGTGAGAAATTCTGAGAGCCTCTGCAACCTTTACCAAGGCTGTATCTTTCCTGTAAATACCTAGAGAGATCTGCTGTTCTTTTTTCAAGTGTTCGTAATCTCTTGCTCCCTCTGGTGTCTGTCTGATGTACCACAGAGTTTTCAAAAACCACCTATCTCTCCTTTTTTTTACCCCTCAGCTTTCCCCCCAGAATCTAGGGATGTGGGGTACCTCAGAACACGTGTCTGTCTCTCAGGCAGTCCCCCAGAGAAATGCGGTTTGGAGCTTTTCCAGTTGTGCTGCACTGAGCCATGGAAAGGGTTATGGGTGAGACAAAGCCCCAAGCTTCCTCCGAGCTCCTGGGGAGCTGGCGTCGCACTGGCCCTGAATGATCGACCCTGCACTTCTCACCCATGCAACAATTCCACATCCTGTTGTTAACCCGACCCACTTCATCCTGAGGATGCTCTGCTTGATTGACAGTTTTAATCCATTTCTATTTAAAGGTTCTTTGCTGTTTCCTGATGTCTTCTACCTACCTTGCTCTTGAGTTCCTCCATTGTCATTCTTGCTGTGTTTCTTTTTTCCCCCCACTATACCACCTTGATTCCCCTTCAGTCTACTTTTTTTTTTTATCTTTGAGAGTTTTCTTCTTAGGGAGGGCCACTCTGAGCCAGTGATTCTGCTTAGGCATTTCAGTTTGGAGTGGGGACGGCTCATGTAGAGAGGAGCCAATTCTGTCAAGAAATGGAATAGCTAAGAAAGTCTGGAGTAGTTCAGACAGACTTTGGGGTGGTGAGGGTCTGCTTGATTTACACGTGCACACACAATAAAGATGTTTAACAAAAGGATGCTTTGGCTGCTTATTCAATAGGATCTCCACACCACCTCTCACCTGTCTACCCATGCCCCTCCCCCAGAGGCACTGGCTAGCCAGTGGCTGAGCCCTGCATGGAGTTGGTTGGCTCCCATCAGCTCCTATAGCAGTCTCCATCCTTCCCCCACCAAACCCACACACAAGTACAGCCATAACCCCTGGGCAGTGTGGCTTCATGTTTTCCATTCTAACGTGGTTCTTACTGATGACCCATTGCTTTCCAGCTTCTGTTTCTACGAAATTGTTGATTTGCTGCGCCCTCTTCTGTTATGTTGATCTTGTAAATGTTCTTTTGAAAAACATCATTTTCGGGAGGTTTTCAGTATAAGTAGAGATAAGAGTTGCACATCATAGGAGTTGCCCTCTTTGGAGGTGTCCATGCTCTGACCCCCGAATCAAGTACTGCCCAGAAAGGGCATCCTGCGGTATAGATAAGAGTCAGAATTGCAGTCACAAGGAACTGGACTCTACCGACAACCTGAATGGGAGGAGATGCTTACAGGAACCTAGTCCTGCTGACCACTGGATTCTCCTTGGAGGCGACACACACCAGGCTTCCGACCCATGCAAGTATAAGATCATAATTTTTGCTGTATGAGCTACTGAGCTGCAGGGACTTGTTACAGCAGCAACAGAAAACAACTGTGTCTCCTGAGAACTTGTAACAGTTTTCAAACCCACCATTGACCTTCAAACCTGCAAACATGAATTACCCATTTATGCCAGAATATTGGCCAAATAATGTCTTCCTCCTGTGGCCTGGCAATTGATAGTAGCAAGAGGATTTGACATCAAAGCCAGATACTCCCAGCCTTGCTTTCCCTAGTTCTTCTTTCGGATATCTGTATCCCCTTGTTCTTCTCTATTTTTGGCAAGAAAAAAAATCATCTTCATTCTAGGGAGCTGCAATTCCTCTCTCTCTAACTCCATTCTATCCAAGTCCCTGAGACTCTGAACCATCGTCCTCTTTTTTGACTGGCCTCCTCTTGGGCTGTCATCCCTTGGCTAGCCTTGACCCATGCTGTACTGTATCACATACCCAAATAACATTCTCACGCCTCCAAGCGAGGATATCTGGTCCTCTGACCTGGGGGAAGGCACAAGCCTGGATACAGAGTGGGCACTCTATGAATCTCCTCATTCAGGAAAAGTTAGACTTGAAACACAATCTTCAATGACAAACGGTGGGAATTTAGGCATAATTCTTAGGAAAACCTGGACAGGACAGCCGGTCTTGCACTGGCTGATATCTCAGAATATGAGCAACGTTAACTCAGATAAAATTCCCAGGCAGCTGGGTGGACAGGAACAGGAGGAGTCAAAGGATAGCAGGAAGAACCCATTCTGGAAGCTTGTGGTACCCACCAGGAGGATAGAAACACTTTCTGTAATAACAGGCTGCACCTGTTTCTTGCCAGGCATGTTGCAGTAGGGGGCAGAGTGGGGAATATGTGTGCAGGATGCCTATTCCATTGAACAGAGTGATATGGAAGGCAGGGTCTTGGATCTCTGTTGAGAAGCCTGGCTTTGCTTGGGTAGATCCCATTTTCTGTGCTAGAGAATACAGCCAGACTATGTTTTTTATTTTCATTTACAAAATGATGAGACCCTAGACAACATGATGATCAATGAAGAACAGATAAAAATGATAAACTCTATTCCTTGGCTTAGGCATTAAAAACCTTCTGTATAAGTATCCATAGCATTTTGTCTCCCATCTTTTGGCTAAATGTAAGGAACTAACAGAAGAGGCTCTGGGCGATGACAGAACTACAGATGGAAAGAACTAGGGACCTTGAACGATGGCAAAGGAGACTGGTTACTGACCAACCCTGGAGAAGTGTATTGTGAATGAAAATAAGTTCTTACTATGTTAATGCAATGACATCCTTATAGATCTTTATAATTTTGCTATCACAATGAATCAGTTTAGCAATTACATAGATGTAGCTAGAAGCGTAATTGGATCCCTGGGCCCCCCCCCCAAGGGTATAGGGAAAACAGCTGTAGTAGTTGGGCATTGCAGTGAGAGCAATTAAGTCACAGGGAAATAGCCCAATAAATGCAAAACTCTCAGGTTGATACACCAATTTATTTAGCTAAAAATGTGAGCCTTTCCCAGGGTGGCAAGGCAAGGGAGAGAGCAGAGGGGTCCTAGGAGAGTGAGTGCTGCAGCAGAAAACCAGGCGATGCTCTCCTTGGACCAAGCCATTGTCCTCCTCCAGCCCACAACAGTGGTGGGCCAAGCAGAGGCTAGGGTCTTAAGGGCTTTAACATTGTTTTAAAAGGCTCGCTGAAAAAAAGAACAGGCAGATAGTTATAAGTCAGGAGACATGTTGGAGACATCTATTTCCAAACTTAACAGCACACAAGGCTCCAGAGACAGAGCACAGAAATTATTTGTTCAATCAGGAGTTCTCGCCTTTGAAGCAATTTCTTCAAACGACGTTTGCTTCTTGAACATACAGGTGGAGACCTTGTTGGGCCTAAGAGAATGAGGCCAGTGGAGAGGCCCAGCTATCAGGACCAATCACTAGGACCTCAGAACTAGGAGAGCCATCTGGACTGACAGGCGATGCTCTAAGGAAAGTCAAGGGAACAGGATCACGGGAAGGCAGAAGGCACCATGTCGGTGGCTCTGTCTGTTACCGAGTGGGAGCCCAGGTTTAGAGCAAGGACACTGTTGCCCTCTGCTGCCTGTCTCTTTAATCAGCCCCCCAGGGGACTGCAGGCTTTTTCTGTTCCCATGTGAACAATGGGAGGGGAGTATGACAAGGCCTGCTCAGGCCCCAGTCCTCCCACCTCGGCGGACTCACTTGTTGTTCAAGCAGATGTTCCCACAGTAGGTCCAGCAACAGGTGTGATTGTCACGCAGGCAGGAGTTTCCCCTCGTGCACCGTTTCCTGCAGTGCTGCTCCGGAGGCTGTACCCAACACTGGTTGATCTCCAACTCCACTGGAATTGACATGACAGAGTTGCCAGGATCCACTCACATGCAACCTGGGAAAGAAACCCTTCTCTTGGCCCAATAACTTTTCCGAAACTTGAGCTCTAGACCACAAGTTTCTCTGCCTTCCAATGAAATCCCTTCTTCAAATTCTGACCGGTGTCTCTTCAGCGAGACTACCGTCCTTTGAGGGCATGTGTTCCACTCTGTAGGATTCTGGGTGCCAAAGACATATTCTCCTACAATTTAGCTGTCAAGGCTGTAATGTCCTGCAGCTCCAACCTCTACATCCAGTTTGCAGGAGAACTGAGCAAAGGGAGAATGGGAACCTACGTTTGTCCCTATCTGTTTCCTCCCTGCTTGAGACCGCCCAGGCACTCAGCCTCTTTCTGAATTTCATGTCTTTTCCTAGCCCACAACCCTCCTGCTAAGTTTTCATGTCCCCAGACTTTGATTTACTGAGAACTTACGGTCATTTCCAGCTATTTACAGTCTAAAAAGTGCTTTTCTTCAAACTAAATGGATATGTTCGACATGCCCCTTCTGCTCTATCTCAATGGCTCACCCAGCTGATACCCAGATACCTGCCAGCTCAAAGGGAAGTTCTGTGTTGATGTTTCCGCTCCCCAAGCTGGTCTGATAGCCTACAAAATGTAGACAAAGCTACTTTCTCTCTGCATATGCTCAGTATTGCTTCCAAGGCTGGGAGAAGGAGTTTGAAGACACAGCAAATTGGGAATATCCAACCTAATCTTGCTTGCTGGACTCTAACACCCTAAAAGTTATCCTGGCAATTTGGGCTCTGCATCAGCTGCACCGAACAGCCCAGGGCTGGGAGAACTCCCTCCTCCCCTGCCACACCACCTACTGTGATGTTTGTACTTGTGGCCCCCAAGCACAGGCAGAAGCACTATAAACTCATGAATAAGCACGATGAATGGGAGAATCCAGGGCTTCATGACAGGTCTCTGAGTGTCTGGCTTAAATTCTAGCAGAAGATAGGTCTCTCCCAGTGCTGCTGGAGGGGGAGAAAAGGGGGGGGGCGGGGGTGGAAGAGAATAGGTTTGGAAAGAGAGGGGAAGTTCTGATGAGCACAGTGCTGCTCTTTCTTCTAATTTTCCTGTTTAGTCTCTGGTCCCCAACAACATGTCAAACCCCAGCTAGCCACTGACTTCCCCAGGCTACATCTTGCTTCATATTACAGACACCTTCCTTTGCAATATTATTTATTTTTGACAAAAACATTGCTTTTTAAATCGGACAGCAACAAAAATAATAAATCTTTCGATTATACAGTTTGTGAACAACACAACACGGTCATGGATGAGCCTTGGTTGTTCTACCACGTGGGGTGTGTAGGTGTGTATGCTATAGAGATTAGTTTTAGCAAACTGGACACATTCTGTGTCCTGAAATTTTATTTTTAACCGGATAACCTGATGGAAACTTCTGTAAAACCCCAAAGTTTCAAGAGTGGTTGCAGAGCGAGTTGTGGATATGTTGCTCAGTGGGACTTGAGAAAAGATGCAGGATAAAGCACATAGGTGGCTGGTCACAGTTGAAGAGATTGGAAAGAGGTTTGAAGGATGGTTTGTTGGTTAAAAACAAACAGCTTTGCTCGGGTACCCAGGATGTTGCCTTCTAACTCCCAGTTGAGAGAAACGATTTTATAAGCGTCAATCTCAGAGCTTCCTTGCGTGTCCCCAGAAGTGTGTGGCGACTTCTGTTTGAATCATGACTGAAGACTCTAAGAGGCAAGGACCTGGGGAAAGTGTGCTAAAATATAGAGAAGGGAACTGCAAAAAAATATATATATATAGGGGGAAATGACACAAACTGTAAACAGACTGATGGCATTTCATGTCTCCAGTGAACCCTTGAAATCTCCCCACAGAGTTAGGATTTGAAGCATAAGGCAGTTCAGGGTAGCACCCATGGGTTCCTCCTGCCTCTGTTTCCTGGGAGATAGAAACTTGCTTTGCACAGGTGGAGGTGTTCTGTAACCAGAGCTTTTGGGTGAGGAGACACTCTACAGTTTTAAGCAGGTGCCCCAACGTGGCTACCTGCATGGACCTGCACATTCAATGACTAAGCCAAGAAGATGCTTCATGGTTCAAAAGTCATATCAAACTTGCAGGGAACAATCTAAGCTTTCCCAAAGTTAGGCAAGAAGATAGCAAATCATTCTGGCGCGGTGGCTCAATGGCTAAATTGTCACCTTGCATGCACCAGGACCCCATATGGGTGCTGGTTCAGGTCCTGGCTGTTCTGCTTCCCATCTACTCCCTGCTTGCAGCCTGAGAAATCAGTTGAGGACAGCCCAAAGCCTTGGGATTCTGGGCACCCAGAAGAAGCTCCTGGCTTCTTATCATCTCAGTTCTGGCTATGACAACCACTTGGAGAGTGAACCAACGGATGGAAGATCTTTCTGTCTCTTTTTTTCTCTGTAAATCTGACTTTTCAATAAAAATAAGTTTCTTTTTTTAAAAAAAAGCTTCAGAATAAACAGTACCCTGACTGAAAGAGGCCTGCAAGGAATTTATTAAAGAGGGGATTTTGTCTAGAAAACTTTTGCAAAGGAGAAAGGTTTTGCTTAGCTTTGCCATCCTCCCTGAATGGCACCTTTTTTCCCAATACCTCCTCTCTACTCCATGCCAGCCTAGTACTTTGTCCCTCCTCCCCCCCCTTAGATCTATTCTCCTCTATAGTAAGCTCAGAACATTCAGAAAGTGAATAAATGTCATTCATTGATGAAGCAACAAGAAAGGAGAAAAATGAAGAGCTCTAGAGTACATTTTAGCTTAGTGTAAAGATAACAAAATGGGAGGCCATTACGAACAGCTCCAGAGGCCTGCTTCCCCACATAGGCAAGCCCCGTTCAGCATAAGCACTTACAGTCTAGGAAAACAAAACTTCAACCATTCAGAAGTCACCAACTAACCTCCAACCAGGAATTTCCAACTGGAATGGTCCAAATGAGGCCACTGTGCATGCGTTCCGCTCTAGCTAATTAAGTGTTTTCTTTGCCTTGCTTCTGCGTTCTCCTTCTCAAAGCCTTCCCCTCACACTCCTTCAGCAGAGATCTGAACTGCTTGTGCTTTGGCACTGCTAGAACCATGAATCACTATTAGCTCAAATAAACCCTTCAATATGTTAATGTGTCTCAGTTAATATTAGCAACCTTTCTGGCAGCAAACAGCAAGTAGTAAAGTCTTGGTACCAGCTGAAGTTGTATCTTGGGTTTGACATCTGAGAAGTCCTGAGCCTACTTCCCCCAACTTCATATCCCCAAAGGCCAGAGATGGATTGTTGGTGATGGTCAGTGTGTGCTTGGGTGCCCAGCCATGAAACCAAATGTCCCAGATTAATTAGACCCCTGATAGAGAGTCCCGAGGTCATCTAGAAACCGTGGAAACATAAGGGTCAGAGCAACTATAGATCTTGCCCTTTTCTACCCCAGAGGACAGCAACATCAAAGAAAAGGACGGCTGAAACATGGTTTCCTTTTTCATCTCCAACATTTTATATGGAAGAGAATAACCCTAGCACATCCAAAAGAATGTAATAGACACGCTAGCATTAGTAATGATCATAGCCAAACTCCACAGGACTTCCTTCACGCCAGGTACGACTTTAAACACTTCACATATATCACTACATTATCACACATCTACCTCATGATGTATAGTTATTGACTTTATCACACCAATAAGAAAGCTGATGCAGAAAATCTATATATAATGATCACTCACAAAGACTTGAGTTCACTGGGTCAGCAGTGATCCAAATGGATTAAGCCACCACTTGTGAGGCCGGCGTTCCATGTCAGAAAGCCAGTTTGGGTCCTTGCTGTTCCACTTCCCAGTTTCCTGAAGATGCACTTGGGGAGATGTTCCAAGCGCTTGGGCCCCTGACACTACTATGGGAGACCAGCATGGGCTTCCTGGCTCCTGGTTTTGTCCTGAGACAGCTCTTTCCATCTCTCTGACACTCTGCCTTTCAAATAAGGGACTATTTTAAAAGAAACAAGCAAATAAAGAAGATTTGCATCTCCCACACTATATCATTCCCTAGGAACATGGGAGCACATTGGTTCTGTTTTCTTGTAAACTTTGACCTTTACACTAATACACTTACACATTTGGAGGTGATTCTTTGAGGGGTATAAGCTGAAGGTCTGCTACAGTTTGGATTTCCTTGGAGTATGCTGCCCAAAGGTTAACTTGGGGAGAAATTTGTCCCCCACGTGTCAGTGAGAGGTGATACAACCACTTGGAGAAGTGCAAGGTAATTAGACCAGTAGGGTACCGCCTTCAGAAAAGCAGTACCTCCCAGTGCTTTCAGAAGAACCTCAGTAGTTCTTGAGGTTGGTTCCCGCAAGAGGAGCTTGTTTTGAGCAGAGTAAGTCTGGTCCCCGACTCTCTCACATTTGCTGACATGATGCCACCTGCCCAGAGGCCTTCTCCAGAGCTGCACCTGGCCTTGGACTTCGGTCTATGAGCTCCATAACCCTCTGTACTTCATACCTGTAAAGTATTCAGCACAGTTTATACTGACGGAAGTGGACTAACGCACAGTTTAATTTCTTGTTTTGCTTATGTATAACCCAGTTACTGATGAGTTTCTCTTTACCCAATCACCTAAGAAATTTTCTTACGTGTGTGAGGTTATTCTTCAGTTCTTCAGCTTACTCCAGTGAGGAATCCTATTACCATTATATTAAAAACATTCTCCCTCTCTAGAACACTCAGTCAAAGCTTGCTATCTGGTAAGACCTGCTTTATACTTAATTCTTTTTCAGAAGTATCTTTCTGAAGATTTTTATTTATTATTTAAAGGCAGATTTACAGAGAGAAGGAGAGGCCTAGAGAAAGGTCTTCCATCCACTGGTTCACTCCCCAAATGGCTACAACAGCTGGAGCTGAGACATTTCAAAGCCAGGAAACAGAAACTTCTTTCAGGTCTCCTGTGTGGGTGCAGGGGCCTAAGGACTTAGCATCCTCTGTTGCTTTCCTAGGTCACAAGCAAGGAGCTGGTTCAGAAGTGGAGGAACTGGGACTAGAACTGGCTCTCAGGTAGGATGCTGGTGCTGGCCCCAGAAGTATCTTGGTACTTTGTATTTCCATAAAAACTTTCGGATCTGCAGAGGATGTTCTTGAATTTTCATTTGAGTGACATTAACCCACAAGGTAATGTGGGGATGACATCCTTACAGCATCATCTTTTCATCCAAGTTTTTAGTTAAGTCTCCATCTATTTTGATCTTCAGAAGTATGGTCTTAAGGAGTATCTCTAAGAAAGATCTATAATACTTACCATGTTTTATCTTGTGCACTTTATTCATGTTTAAAATGTAAATATTATTATGAATGGCATAAGATGTCATTGTTTTGATGTCAAAGATTTCCTGAAATTTGGGGGCTGGTGCTGTGGCTCAGCAAGGTAATCCTCTGCCTGGCAGTGCCAGCAGCCCATATGAGCACTGGTTCATGTCCCAGCTCCTCCACTTCTGATCCATCTCCTTGCTTATGGCCTGGAAAAGGTATGGAGGATGTCTCGAGTCCTTAGGCCCCTGCAGCCACGTGGAAGACCTGGAAGAAGTTCCTGGCTTCTGGCTTCAGATCGGCTCAGCTCCAGTCATTGCATATAAAAATACTCATTCAAGTTGAGCATTCCTAATCACTAAGTCTGAAATCTCCAATAAGTGCATACATGTACTTATCTACTTGTAGGAAATACTGACTTCCACTCAGAAATTCTCCCTCTCCTATTTTACAGTTAAAAATCAAGGACCTATATATAAAAATGTTCTATATATGACATTACATAGAATACCAGTAAACAAATACTTGACAATAGATCCTTATGCTAAAGACTATGAAGTTACGGAACCCTGTTTGTGGGATGTTTATAACTAAGTAAGGGTGGCAAGAGACTAGTAATAAAAGATGTGAGACTCAAAAATGTGAGAGAATAAAAAAATGTTTATAGTATCTTCACAGAGATGAAAGGCAATACAGGTGAACGCATCCTAAGCAGTGAGGTCACTGTTATTTTTAATTCCATTTCTCTTTCCTACTGTAAAAAAAAAAAAATTGCAACTAGAAAATGTATGTAAATTGTATATTCAAAAAAAGAAAGATTCTATTAGCCAAAAGAGAGGGTTGGCTGTATGAAAGTAGGCGGCATCCTGCGGAAGCCCAATCCCATAGCTTAGCACAAGGAAAAAGCCACAAAAAGGGGAGGCTACAGGGGCTCGCTTTCACTGTTCTGGCTTGGCCAGCAGAGGCATCAAGGACCTGGGGCAGAGTTCTTCTTGTCTTCCCTCTCCACCTCCAGTACTGCAAGGAAGTCGGTGGTCTCTTGGCCAGACTGGAGTTCATGGCGCTGGTCAAAGTGATGCTGCCTCGGGCTGTGCTGCTCTGTGTCCTGCTGCTGCAGGCCCAGGGAGGGCCCCGTGAGCGGGTGACAGAGATTGAGGGTAGGTGATGAACGGGCAGGGGGATGGGCAAAGGAGTAAGGAGAGGTGCTTGCCCAGATGCTGGGTAGATTTGAGGCCATCCCCAAACCCTGGCCCTACAGCTAAGAAGAGTTACAAGGTTGGGACAGGGGACTTCCATCTGGGTTTTTTACTCGATTCCAAAACCCAGAGACAATGGTACATAGTATGATGAAAAGTGCACAGGGCTGAGGATTAGCATTTGACATGTACTCATGTGTGTGGGGGGAATATCTGGAGGTCTTCAAAAGTATAGTGGCAGGCCTAGATGAGGATAAATACAGAGAGGGACAGCATGGGGTGGACCAAATATGCCGCACACAGAACCAACGTGAAGCTGACATCATAGGAAACAGGTGGCAAGAGCTAAAAAGAAGAGGGGATACTGGAGACAGTGCTACTGAGGAAAGACGGCAGGTAGCAGGCAACTTCCTCTTCATCTGAATCTTGCAGATTCTGAATGGTGGGTGAAGGTATGGAAAGCACTTCGGGTGTAGCTGAGCAAATCTCAGAGTAGAACCCAGAGCAGTGACTCCCCCAAAGCCACGGTCAAGAGAGGAGACCGGGTCCTGGATGCTGAAGAGTAGAGACAGCTGGAGAACCTGGTGACTGGGTCCTGCACAGGGTCTAGGGAAGGGAGAGAGGGGAGACATACAAGCTAAGACCCTACCAATCACCAGGACATTTTTGTGTCTTTCCAGAAGAAGACGACCACCAAAATATCAAACATTGTTCGAAGCAGCCTGCAATGTATCTATGTAAACGCCCCTGTGAGTCTCACGTAGAATGTAGAGGAAATGAAAAATGCTGTTTGAGCTACTGTGGTATGATTTGCCAGAGCTTTGGTCTGTAGCAGAGTGGGCTGTGTAGCTTGCAACCCCAACCTTCTCTGCACACTGGGCTCACTTCTGATGAACAAGGACCTCCAATCACAACCACAACAGCATGAGCCCAAATGCTACCCTCTATACTGTCTGAACTCCTTGTCCCTGTTCAATAAAGCAGAACGAATGCTGGGCAACCCAGCCTCCTTGACTCCCACTGCTTGCGATCGTTAAGAACCACCGCAGCTCCCACACATGTCCTGCCCTGCTCCGGTCAGATCTGCAACCTGGTCTTGATTCTCTATCCCCCACGCTTTGGCCCAGGCACCCCTGCCAATTCCCAGGAGGCCCACCTCAACTCCAACCCTGCCTCCACAGTTTGCCCTGCTCAATGAACCAGAACTATCAAGTGCACCTGCTTCCAGAGCTTACCAGAATATTCCTAACCCCAATGTCAGAAAGACTTCATTAAGTGTGAGGTGAGTGCAAGTTAGAACCTGAGCATGGAGTGGAAAACCCCTAGGAATGGCTGGTTCAAGCCCCAGCAGCTCTTCTTCTGATCTAGCTCCCTGTTAAAGCACCTGGGAAAGCAGCAGAAGATGGCCCAAGTGCTGGGGTCCCTGCCACCCACATGGAAGACCTGGGTGGAGTTCTTGGCTCTTGACTTCAGCCTGACCCAATCCTGACTCTTGTTGACATTTGGGAAGTAAACCAGAGCACAGAGGATCTCTCTCTTTCTCCCTAACTCTGCCTTTTAAATAAATATAATGATTCTTTTTAAAATAGCCACAAAGTGGCTCACGCTTTTGGGCCACCTATGCCTCAATATGAAACAAATTCACCAGAGCCCTGCTCTGCACGATGGAATAGAAGGACTGCTGGCCAAGCATTGATTTGAAAACGGCACATGAGGCCCAGCATAACAGCTCAGTGACTAAGTCCTTACCTCACATGCACCAGGATTCCCTATGGGCACCAGTGTGTCCCAGCTGCTTCGCTTCCCGTCCAGCTCCCTGCTTGTTTTGTGGGAGGGCAGTGGAGGGTAGCCTTGGGACCCTGCACTAGCATAGGAGTCCTGGAAGAAGCTCCTGGCTCCTGGCTTCAGATCAACTCAGCTCTGGCCAATGCAGCCACTTGAGAAATGAACCAGCAGATGGAGGATCTTTCTGTCTTTCCTTATCTCTGTAAGATCTGCCTGCCTAATAAAAATAAAGAAATCTTTAAAAAAAAAAAGAGAGAGAAAGAAGGGAGGAAAGAGAAAAAAAGAAGGAAAGGAAGGAAGGAAAGAAAGAAGAAAGGAAGGAAGGAAGAAGGAAGGAAGGAAGGAAGGAAGGAAGGAAGGAAGGAAGAAAGAAAGAAAGAAAGAAAGAAAGAAAGAAAGAAAGAAAGAAAGAAAGAAAGAAAGAAAGAAAGAAAGAAAGAAAGAAAGAAAGAAAGAAAGAAAGAAAGAAAACCTAAGAATTTTCTGTGAAGCCCAGGAGCTTACCCACTCAGGGGTTTATGGTTACCAAATGGGGCAGGACAAAGCTGGGAGCTTGCGTGCACTGTGAGAGGGGAGCTACCTTGGAGCGAGCAGTTTGGGTGTCCAAGGATAGTGAAGTGGAAAGAAACACGCCAAGCTCCACCCTGTTGGTAAATGCATTTATTGATCCTAGAGCTGACCCTCTCCAGCCTTTGGTAAGACGAGCCTGGGGTTCCCAAGAGTGGGCACACAGCACTGGCCCGAAGCGTCTGAGCCTTCCCAGCCCACACAGGTGAAGTTGGGGGTTTTAGCCTTCAAGGAACTTCGTCCTGAAAAGAGATAAAAGATACTCAAGAAGAGGTCTGGGAACCCTGAGAGACAAGCCTTCATCTCCAAACTGACCAGTCCCCGGATATTCCCCAGCTCCAGGGACAGGAATATTTTCAGTGTAACAGCAGAAAGTGTCCACTTCCGAGTAGGTGCAGTGATGGTTCACTGAACAGAGCCGGGTGGAGCCACCAGGACTGGCTGTGTGACGAGGGACTGAGAGTGGAGACTGTGGTTAGACATCCGGACAGAAAGTTAGGACAGCAACAAACTGCTGAGAAACGAGCGGACCCCAGCACAGCCGCTGGCCTCCCTGATGCTGTCTCGGTCTGCTGGTTTGTGAAGTGCTTTCCGGGTAGGGAGGGCTGGGGACAGTCCCTTCTGCTATTTTCTGTGCCTGGGCTTGGAGGAATCGCAGCCTCCCTGGTGCTCCTCCCCAACCGTGCTCACCAGGGTTCTCCAACAAATGTCCCCACAGTAGGACCAGCAGCAGGTGAACTCCGCATGAAAGCATTTATAATTCCGTGTACATTTCCGCAGACAGTCACGAATCGTCGGCTCTCCCCAGCATTCCTGAATCAACCATTTTCTCGCTAGGATGGGACACAAGATGCTCAGGGCCTGACAGAGAAGGGCCCTGTAGAGAAGCTTCTGGACCGACCCTCATCTCCAGCACAGCCCGCCTGCTCTGCGCTCACACATCTTACCATCATCGGACACCTCTGGGGACTCCAGACAAGGATTTGATGTATCCCCTAGAATTGCCAGACCCTCCTCCAAGATCTCCATTTATGTAGAAGACAGCCTCTAGCCTCTAGCCTGCATACAACATGTCTTTCATCATTCAAGGAGAGGCAGAACGATGCCCCTCTCCTTCCTCTTCCCCACACCCCTCCCTCTGATAATAGCTCAGCCTCTCTCCAAACTCTTCTCTCTCTCACCCAGTTATCTCTGCAGCCCCACTAATGCCATTTCCTTCAGACGACCCCACCCACCCTTGCTCCCAGCTCTATCTTACGGCTTGTTTATGTAGAGTTCTAAAAGATCCTGTCACTACGGTTGACACCCAGGTTGAGTGTCAGGGATTTTTATTTTTCAGGTTTGGGAACTTTTTCAAATATTGGGGAAACAGGACACAAATCTAAACACAAATTTTGTGCCTCCATACCTTATATACATAGACTGAAGGAAATTTGAGATGATAATTCTAATATCACCTCTATTTTGGTCTACCCATCACAGTAGATCAGGTGTGAAATTTTCTACCCACAATGTCAGGTCGATACTCAGAAAGCTGTTAGCTTTTGGAGCATTTCGGATTTCCAATTTCTGGATCAGGGATGCTCAACCTATATTAACAACTTCCATTTGGCACGCAGCTAGGACATAAACCTTTCAGAAGTAGGGGAGAGGAGAAACTTCACAGTGGTGTTCCACCCTCTTTTTGGCTGATGGAAACTGTATAAAGCATAACGGCTACTCATGGCCAGGTTCAAGGTCGAACAGGAAGCAGTCAAGGATCTCCTGTTGGGAATTTGGCTCTCCCAGGGAGAGAGCACAGCCCCTCCTCCCTTGCTCCCCAGCCCAGCCCCATCACCTACTGGAAGGTGTGTTCCCCTGTAAGTTTCCCAGCACAGACAGTAGCAGCAGGCAGAAGAACGTCAGGAAGAGTGGCGTCCGGAGCTGCATGACGCTGGTGAGGCGCTGCTTCTGCACTCCCCAGGGAATGACTTTGTCCTTCCCAGTTGCTGCTAGCAGTTCTAGAGACACAAACAGGGAGGAGACATGAGAAGCAAGATGAAGTACTTGCGAGAATTCTCTCTCTCATTTTTTAAAAGAAATATTTATTTATTTATTTATTGGCAAGTCAGATTTACAGATTGAAGGAGAGACAGAGAGATCTTCCATCTACTGGTTCATTCCCCAAGTAGCCAGAGCTGAGCTGATCCAAAGCCAGGAGTTTCTTCTGGGTCTCCCACACAGATGCAGGGCCCCCAAGGCTTTGGGCCATCCTCTACTGCTTTCCCAGGCCACAAGTAGGAAGCTGGAAGGGAAGTAGAGCAGTGAGGCTATGAACTGGCGATCATATGGGATCTCAGGCATGCAAGGAAAAGACTTTAGCCACTAGGCTTCTGCGCCAGGCCCGAGAACTCTTCATCTTCATTCTTCTTCTTACCCCTCCTGTGCCTCTCCCTGCCCAACAACACCACGTGCTTTGCTCATGTCACATTTTCTATATTGACAGACATGTAGGTTGGTTCTACACCGTGGCTACAGCGAGTGGTACTGCCACGGACATAACAGTGTAGCTGTTTCTTCAAGCTTCTGATTACAAGTTCTTCGCATGCATATCAAGATTGGAGTTGCTAGACTGTATATTTAACATTTTCTATGTTTGACATCTTCCAGGAACCTCCTTACTGTCTTCTGAGGCTGCATCAGCTTAAAGGCCGACCACAACGTACGTGAGTTCCCTTCTCTCCACATACTTATCACTACTTTTTCTCTTTTGGCCTTTTGATTATAGCTAGCTTACCTTGGGTGAACCAGTGTCTCATCATAGTGGTTTGAAAAATATTTTCTCTCTTGGGTTGTCATGGTGGCATAGGAAGTTAAACCACTGCCTGTGATGCTGGCATCCCATATTGGAGCACTTGTCCAGATGCTGGCTGCTCTGCTTCCCTTGCAGCCCCCTGCTAATGCACCTGGGGAAGCTGCAGCAGATGCTCCAAGTGCTTGGGCTCTGCCACCCACATGGGACACCCAGATGGAGTCTCTCAGGCTCCTAGCTTCAGCCTGGCCCAGCCCTGGTGGTTGAGGAGTGAAACAGCAGATGGAAAATCTCTTTCAGCCAGTTGCTACTTCTGTCTATGTTATTCTGCTGTTCAGATACATAAAATATTTATATATACATATATATGAAAACCAATTCCTTCCATTTTGTCAGATATGTTGTAATTTTTCTGATTGTTCTTTTGCGGTGCAGAGCTTCTTACGCTGATGCAAGACTGCCTGTTCGTGTTTGATATTTGTGCTTTTTGCCTTCTCCAGGACATTGCCCAGACCAATCTTGGGAAGATTTTTTTCCTAGGCTTTCTTTTAGTAGTTTGAGGACTTCAAGTCACACTTTTCTGTCTTTAATATGTTTTGACTTGCTTTTTGATTCACATGTAAGATGAGGTCCAGTATAATTCTTGTATGTGTGTATATTTAGGTTCCCAGTACCACTTTTTGAAGAGCTTATACTTCCTTCATTCCATTGTGTCTTCTTGGCACCCTGTCAAAGATGAGTCGATGCTACGTCGGAGGAAACGTTGTATGCATTTATGCATCCTGTATTCTGTTCTTTTGGTTGGTCATAGGTCTACTTCCATGCCAGAACCACCTTGGTTTGGTTACTGTAACTTTCTAGCATTCATATATTTTGGATTCACAAATGTAATGCTTCTAGCTTTGATAAAGAAAGTATGATATACAATGGCATATTATTCAGCTATAAAAAGAATGAAATTCTACACTTGTAGAAAAATTGTAGATCCAGAGGATATTATGTGGGGTGAAATACACCAGACATAAGAAGTACCACATATTCTTCCAAGCATGTGGAAGCTAAAATTCTTTAATGACTCAAAAGAGAAAGCATCTACTTGGCTACAAATAGTGTTTTACCAAACTTTGTTTTAAACCCTTGTCAAACAAATTATATACTACAAAGGTCTCAAAGATTTCATGACTGTTTTAAACTTTCATTGCTATTGGGGGGCCGGCCCAGTGGGGGTCACTGGGGGTCTTTCTGACTGGGCTGCAGCTCCCCCTGTGTTACGTGAGGGCAGAGTGTGTGTTGGACAGGGCTGGGTTGCACCACAGCACTGTGCTTTGCTGAGGATGGAAGGCAGAAGATACTGATTAATTCCACCAGTGAAGCTCGACAGAACATTTCCGGGCCAATGGAGACTCTGAGGTGGACTATGACAGCCAATCAACCATGGAATGATTTCCTCATCCTTGGAGCAGCGATAGCAGCACCTCAGATTTATCGAAACCACTTGACCAGAACCCTCAGAAGATGCTCTCCCGCGGGTACCCATTGGGTGGCATCCTCGTCCCCGGGCACTGATGTGGTTGGGAGGCTGGGCGTGGTTGCTCCTCTTATGTCCCCCTCTTCCTCATACACAGGAAGAAGAGAAAATGTGTGAACAGTGGTTCCCCCACTATCCCCTGGTCCTCGACCCTTCCCACCCTGATCAATTACGTAAACATCAAAAATATTATTTTTTTAACAATTTGCTTGCTATTAGTGAAGTTGAATGGTTTACAAAACTTTTCCCCAAGGCTTTCTCTTGAAAGACTATATATTTCACTGTCTGCACATCTGCTTCCAGATTTTTTTTTCCCTCCATTCATATTGCTTTATTCTTCCAGAAAGATACACGTCTTACCTTAACCTTCTGAGGAAGATTCTCTCCCATTTGTCACACCCCAGCAAGGGCTGTTGGTGTAGCCCAGGAGGGACAGCCAGACACACACACTGAAGTCAGAGAGGTTGGAATCCCAGCCCCTAAAACTCAGCTTAACATAACCTGGCAGCATGTGTCACTCCCCAGAGCCCTCGATCCTGGTATTCCAGCAGCAACATTACAAATGCTGAATGGAGGAAGTGCTGGGTGCTGAGTAGATGTGAAGTCAACAGGAACCACGGTCCATGCGCGCTCAGGGCAGCCAGCGGGATTAGCTCTGTGGTGGCTTCTCCCTGTGAACAGTGTGGATGGGCATCTAGCCCTCAGGACACATGCTGTCCCGCCATGGAGGAACAGCGTGGACAGGGAACCAGCCAAGCAAACCAGAACCGGAAGCCTCTGCGGGATGACACTCACAGCCTCAGGACCCTGACCCCCACCTACCTCGGAACATACCTGGACCGAAGTGGCCAAGGATTGTCTCCCTGGTGGCTCTTTGAGCTCTCTTTGGGGGACCGTGGAACCCTGGACAAGCGGCAGGCTGTGGGCAGAACACACTGCAATGACTCAAGTTTTCATCTGTCTGCTGGCTGCGGCAGATCTGTGAGTTTCCTGTCCAATCATGCGTTGAGTCCACACAGAACACTGTCTCTAAATGCCTCCTGTTCGTGCTCACTTCAGCAGCACATATAGCTAATTCTTCTTGTTCCACTTGCTGCAGGCGACAGAGATAAGACAGAACACTGTGGACTTGCAGCAGCTGAGCCTTCCACAGCACACACGTACACTCAGCACACACACGTATGCTCGCAGAGTAGCCTGGGGAGATGACAGAGCTGAAGGAGGTACCCAGTTTCTCTCACACTGTACGACCAGGTCTCTAAAGCCCACCCGTCTGTCTGGCGTGATCGTATCACTAACTTCTAGTGGCCTTTGTGCTAATGAATAACAAGAACTCTTCCAAGAGAGCTTAGGAGAGGTCACATAGGGCATGGGTATAAAACATGGACCTGTGCTTGATCAGACCCTAGCTCTCATAAGAAATGAGACACATGTACGTCCTCATCTGTAAAGTGAGAATGATCACACGCTATCAGCGCTTTGCCTCACAGGAAAGTCAGGAGGACTCTATGTGTAAAGCTCTGAGGTCAAGGTCAGAAAGCAGGCAGTGCCAGGTAAGGTTTGTTAGTTCAGTGAGACATTGTGATGAACATAACAACAACACTTGTTTAAAAATATCCTCAGGGCGTAGATGCAATGTCTTAGTGTTTAAAGTTCTCTGCTTGCACACGCCTGCATCCCATGTAGGCGCTGGTTCTTGTCCCAGCTGCTCCATTTCCCATCCAGCTCCCTGCTTGTGGCCTAGGAAAGCAGTAGAGGATGGCCCAAAGCCTTGGGACCCTGCACCTGCATAGGAGACCTGGAAGAAGCTCCTGGCCCCGGCTTTGGATCAGCTCAGCTCTGGCCGTTGCAGCCTCTTGGGGAGTGAACCAGCAGATAGGAGATCTTTCTGTCTCTCCTTCTCTCTGTAAATTGATTTGCCAATAAAGACAAATAAACCTTTCTTTAAAATGTATGGTAGTATTGTGGGACAGAGGTTTGTACAGCTGCTGCCTACAGTTCTGGTGTTCCGTGTCGACGCTGTTTGAGCACCAATTACTGGGGTTCCAATTCAATTCCCTGCTAAGGCACCTGGGAGGGCAGAAGATGATCCAAATGGTTCAGCCCTGCACCCATGTGGGAGACACGAAGAGGCGTCTGGCTCTTGGCTTTGTTCTGGCCCAGCCCTGGCCATTGCAGCCATGTGGGGAGTGAGTCAGAGAATGGAAGATTGTCTCCTTATCTTACTTCTCTAATTGTTATCTTTAACCCTTATTTATACTCCTTCAGAACTCTAGCCTTCCCACTTTTTACTTGTTGGATATTATGGTTTGTGGTGAATTCAGTCTGTGATAATAGAGCAGATTGAAATTATACCTCTGCAAAAAATAAAGAAACAGAAGGGAAATTAAGAGGGGAAGAGGAAGAGAGGAAAGTATGGTTGTCTTCTTGGAACCTTATAAATAAAATACACAAAATGCATTTTTTATGTTAGTAAAAACACAATTAAAAGTGGTGTGGATTTGAAAACACTTCCTGGCCCAGTAGTGGCATCACTGGGAGGTGCCTGGGTTGCTGTCAAGCCCTTCAGAATTGGAACACATAGGGGAAGCACAGTCACAGCCCACCGACTCCAGGATTCTTCCCCTCCCTTCTTGAAGCAGCCATCCTTGGCCAGGACTACCTGTGCTGCCAGCACCACGAAGCCTGTACTGCTTCTCCACTTCCTGCTGGTGCCCGGGAGGCCCAAGCAGCACTTACTAAGTAGATGCAGGGTCCAGTGCCAGGTAAGGGAAGCAGCCACTGTGCAGCAGAGAGGATCTGCGAGCAGTCTGACACACCTCCTGAAAAAGTGCAACGTCAAGGCCTTACTGCCTTCAGTCGCTTGCTTTCAATCTCTGTCCCATTTTTTTTTTTAATTGCACCACCCTGGGCAAAGCAGCTGAACCTCTGATTTTACCCTTGTAGTGGATCTTAATGATGTTGGAATAACCAGGAAGGAAAACCAAGACAGCCATGCAGATATAGGGGACCCTTTCTATACCATGGTACCTGCTCAGAAAGTACCAAGGACCGTACATGCTATCAGCTTCCTCATGGAGCTGAACCTTGCTGCCCCCGGTTCTTCGATGCATGCCTGTGCTTGATCCCCTCTTTCATGCATGCAAAGAAGGAAGAAAATGAAGCTGGAATCTACATAACATTAAACTTGAAGAGTATTTCCTTAAAAGAAACATTAGGAAGTCTTATGCTTTGTTTTGTTCAAACATACAAAGGTGTTGAACAATTAACAATGGTTATCACCAACAGGACGGTGTAGAGTTTGTCTCAACAGCCAGCACTGCCCAGTTCAACCTAATAAGAGCAGCATGTCAACCTTGACCAATAACAAATGGGAAAGCACATCCATTTAACAAGTCTGCACTCCTCTGTGGGGACAGCACCAGAAGAGGGATGTATATGGAAGTTCAGGTGTCCAGGCCTGAAGACCTGGAGGAGGTTCCAGGCTCCTGGCTTCAGATCGGCGCAGCACAGGCCATTGCGATCACTTGGGGAGTGAATCATCAGATGGAAGATCTTGCTCTCTGTCTCTCCCCCTCTCTATAGATCTGACTTTGTAATAAAAATAAATAAATCTTAAAAAAAAAATTTTTTTCTCTAAGGTTAAGAATTTGCCTAGGGAATACTTAAAACTATTTTTTTTTTTCTCCAAAAGCACACACAGGAAACTAAAAGATGCTTTGCCTAACTCCTCTACGCAGAGCATTTGGCAAAGCTGGGGTCCGGCCTGGGGACCTCAGGAATGCCCCGTTTCCTCTTCTAGGTCAGAACTGCCTTTGCAGCGACCACTTGGTCTCTTGCTCCAGTAGTCCCCTGCAGGGGCTATCTGTGCAGTGCCTGGCGCAGCAAGTGGTCCAGGATGTGCGCAGCTCAGGGAGGCACACACACAGCCCGAGGGGAGAACAAAGCACTCAGACCTGCTCTGCTGGGGAATGAGCTCTTCCAGCCTCGGTCGGAAGGACAGGAAATCAGGCGGAACCCTTCACCCTGTCTGTGACTTTGGTCAGCTCACGGAGGTCATCAATGTCCCCCTGTGTCATGGGAAAAGAGAATCCTCACGCCTTGGGGTCCTGTGAAGATTACACTAGGCCATATCAAAGCTGCCAGCAACTCACGTCACTCGAGTTTCACTTTTTCTCCCTTAAAAAGAAGGGGGAGGGTGGCATTGTGGCAGAACAGGTTAAGCCACTGTCTGTAATGGCAGCATCTCCTAGGGGCGCTGTTTGAGCCCCAGCTGTTCTGCTAATGCACCTGGGAAAACAACAGAGGATGACCCAAGTCCTTGGTCATCTTTTTCCTAATGCACCTGGGAGACCCAAATGAAACTTCTAGCTCCTGGCTTCCATTTGGCCTGGCCCCAACTGCTACAGCTATTTGAGGAACGAATCAGCAGACAGAATCACTCTCTATAACTCTGCTTTTCAAATAAATAAAATAAATCATTAAAAAAAAATAAAAAAGAATGGGAGCCTGGCACAGTAGCTTGGTGAATAATATCCTCGCCTTGCATGCACCGGGATCCCATAAGGATGCCAGTTCATATTCGAGCTGCCCCACTTCCCTTCCACCTCCTTGCTTGCGGCCTGGGAAATAAGATAGCCCAAAGCCTTGGGACCCAGTACCCACACGAAAGACCCCAAAAGGGCTCCTGGCTCCTGGCTTTGGATCGGCTCAGCTCCGGCCGTTGTGGCCAGTTGGGGAGTGAACCAGCAAATGGAAGATCTTTCTGTAACTCTGACTTTCCAATAAAATATATATATATATCTTTAAAAAAAAAAAAAGAACGGAAGGGAGAGGACCTTAGTATCATAATTCTGATGTTACAAGAACGACGAATAGGAATCTTCCATCATTCCACCACAAAACCAAGGGAGTATTCATCCCAGATGTATCCCGTGATTGATTCTGTTCCAGAGTGTTTGTAAACAGCTGGCCTAGGGCCTTGTGCCCTTCCCAGAATTGGCACATTAGAATGGTGGTGTTTCACTGTCAGTAGATAGTGTGAGTTCCAGCTGAGTTGAAAAATAAAGAATTGGCATGTAGACCGGGCCAGCCAGAGAAAGAGCAAAGGGTCGAGAGTTTATGTTGGCAGTGGGGAGGCTCGCCCAGCGAGCCCTGAGGGTCAGCACTCCTGGAGTGCCATGTGACCTGAGACACTGAGTCGGGCCTGAACTGAAGAGGGTCTTTAAGTTAGACTAAGGAAATTCAGTGCATGGGGGAATCCTTAAGTGATTAACTGCAGCTGTGTGGAGTTACTGAATTGTGGTCATTTGGGAAGATGCAGCTCAACTTGGCTGCATGCGCTGGAGACCAGGGCTGGAGGTGGATGACACCGGAAGTACTCAGGCCCAGGAGGCAAAGGCTCATAGCAAAATTATAGTGAAGTGAAGAGGAAGGGCGAGTAAGATGGGAGGTGACATGTGAAACTCACATACTGGCTGTCAAAATACGGCATTTGTCATACATGATGATCAGTGAAATGCAGATCTGTAGAGAAAAGAAGAGACAGAAAGATCCTCCATCCACTGGTTTATTCCCCAAATGGCCACGATTGTCCGAAGCCAGGAGCCAGGAGCCAGGAGCCAGGGGCTTCATCCAGATCCCCCATTTGGGTGCAGGGTCTCAAGGGTTCAGGCCATCCTCTGCTGCTTTCCCAGGCCATAAGCAGGGAGTTGGACTGGAAGCAGCCAGGACAGGAGCAGCACCCACACACCCACATGAAATGTTGGCGCTTGCAGGTGGGGAACTAGCCTGTGACTGGTAGTGCCAGTCCCTACTTCCATTATTGTCAGATTTATTCCTTTTTTTTTTTTTTTAATGTACCAAGATTAGTGTCTTTGCTATAGAAGGCCAAAGAAGGAAAAGGAAGCAGTCGTGTTAATTCCTTGCTCTGCTGGTTCTACCCTCTGTGGTTAAACATAGGCAAAAGCTCTGACCCCTTACATTAATATGATTTCTAGAAGAATGTGGGACTGACTCACTATCAGGGCGTCTAATCAGTTGGAACCTTAGCCTTTATGGCTGGGTACCCAAGCACTCAATGATCAACTTAGTGCCCAGTCCTAGCCCTTGGGGTAGGTGAGCTCAGTGCTCTCAAGTATCAAACCTAAAATATAAAACCAGCTGATGCTGAGACTCTCCCACCAGCTACAGGTGGCACCATGAAGCTTACTCTGCTGGCATCTCTTCTAGGAATCCTCATCTTCTGCTCACTAACCCCCCAAGTATTGGGTGGCGTTCAAAATCTTCTTCAGGCCATATGTGGGGACCTCAAAGGTATGAAGTTAAGGCAGAAACTAAATTCAAAGACCAAGGAAGAATGAGAGAGAAAATGTTTGAAATAAGTGTGCTCTCTTGGTGGTGCTAGCATCCTGGGAGCACCCAGGGATTCTGAGGGTACCAACTCAGAACATTACTGACCATGGAGTTGTCATGACGATATGTGGGATGATGAAAAAATCAGGTGTGATACAAATAAATCCTTTCACAGATAAACTTTGCATGCCAGTCAAACATACTAGGAGTATTTCAGTTTTGGTTTTTTTTTCTTTAAAGCAGAAAGACATAGGAAAAGACAGACACACAGATAGATCTCTTGTCTGCCACAACAGTCAGGGTGGAGCCAGGATCAAGGACTCAGATCGAGGTTTCCATGTGTGAGGCAGGATCTCAGCTCCTAGAACCACAACCTGTGGCCTTCAAGGGTTTGCATTGACAGAAAGCTGACAACAGGAGCAGAGGCAGCATTGAAACCCAAGCATCCTGCTGAATAATGTGGGCAACCCGAGTGGCACCTTGACAACCATGTGCCAATGCCCTACCTCCAGAAGCATTTTGAACTGGGAGATTTGGGAACAATTTCAAAGATCCAAGACTCTTTTCAAGACCATGTCCTGGGATGAGAGAGCACATGGTTGCAGACTGAGCAAACGGATTCATTTTCAGCATCTGGACTCTGAGCATGTAGAAAACACTTGTTTCTCTGTTGAAAGAAGATCATAATGTATAGGAAAGGCAATAGGATTTTATTCCATAGTCTTCGCATTCAGGCTTTGTGCTTCCTCGGTGGCAGGAAATGTCTATCCATGAAGCAAATCTTCAGAGTCTAGCTGTGCCGTTTAGTATGTGTGGGTTCACGAAGAAGTGACTCTGTTGCCTACTGTCTCTTAGCCTCAGTGTCTACATGTGGAAACTAGAAGTACCTGCTTCAGAGGGTGTTTGTGATGACAAGTAAAATATGCATGTGACTATACTCCAAAAGTAAGTTTTACCAGAGTAAATTCCAGGGAAACACCTATTTGGTGTGTTGTCAATATAAGCATGTTTGCGGCTGCTTCAACCACATACTACCCAGCTCTTACCAGTAAAAACAGGATCTGTCCCCATGAAGGCAAGATAAGCTGACAGAGAATGGGGCGAAAGTGCATCAAGTCAACCATGCTGCTTCTTGAAATAGCACCAAGCACAGTTACCTGATTTTGCAATGCAGAGAACATTGTGAGTGTATGTAATCTCTAGAGTGTTCTGAACCATATACTCTGTGTGGGCAGTTAAAAAGGAAAGACGATAATGATGTGGGGGAGAGGCAATCTCACCTTTGTAAGCTGTAAGACATAAAATGTGGGCGAAACTCACTCTTTTGCACAAGCTAGTGACAGACCCAGCCCCTCAGTGCTCAGGACCACCACATGGAGGGTCATCAGTTTGACCCACTCAAGGGCCACCTTGCCTAATGACTCTAATTCCCAGAAAAAAATTTAGATGTTTTCCAGGCATCTTAAAGTTAGTCATGTTTTCAGACTACAGTGATGCAGCCTTTCTTCCCAGTCCCAAACAACTCCTCTAACTCATTGGGAACCCCCCCTTGCAGATCCCTGCAAATTGGATGTCAACTATGGAAGTTGCTATGAAAAGCATGTGAGTTTCTTTTACAACAAAAGTTCCAAAGCATGTGAACGGTTTGTGTACTCGGGCTGTAATGGCAACCTGAACAACTTCCGGCTTAAAATAGAATGTGATGTTGCCTGCGTGGAAGAATACCGACAAAAGTAAGCAGCCCGGTCTTGTCGTGGGTCCTTGAGGGAGGAAAGGGGTGGTTCTAAGGTCCCAGATTAGAGTAAATGCTTCAGGATCCAACTCTGATTTGGGATGGGGAAAGCAGAGAGTTATTCTGATGAAAGAATTCAACAGTTGGGTTGGATCTCAGGATTGTTTGTAGTCAAGAAATCCAAAGTCCAGAGAAAACACACACCTACTGAACACACACCTACTGAACACACACCATAAACCAGGTGCTTCTTGAGGCAATTCACATATACCAAACCTGATAGAGGTAAATGACTGGTCCAAGTTTTCATTATAAAATATAATTTGAAAACATGGGTGATGGTCACCCAATTCTTAACCATCTTACCCACACAAGATTAACCATACAAAATTCATGCACCCTCAGACCTTGAAATCTCCATGCTATTTCACAACACAATTAAGCTCTGAGCATCCCCTTGACCATCTCCCAGCCACTGGAGCCGCAGAAGGTCAGTGGAGCCTAACAGGGCCAAAGTGTAGCTGCTTCCCAAGAACAGATGGCGTATCCTTGGGAAGACTCCTTTTTGCTCAGAAATCTCCTTTTGCTCATTTTGAATTCCCATTCAATCTTTGCGACAGTTGGCACCAAAGAGGCAATAAATAAGTTTCCAGTGACCAAAGAAGTGAGAAATTAATCAATGGAAACAGAAAAAAAAAAAAAAAAAAAACCCCACCGAAAAAACAAAGCATCGTCTTAGCTTATTTTAGGATACATAGAACCTATAGGAGCCCAAGGAGACATTTCAAAACCTGTATCACAGATCTGTTTGGGTTTTGTTTCATATTTCCTTTTTTATTTTTGCTTAAACAGGATTGGAAAACAAGCAAGTGAACCCCAAATTCCTTAATGAACCATCTGAGATGGCGCAAGAAAATCTACAGCGCTCTTTTTAATACTTCCATAGTTCTTGAAACTGCAACTTACTATTTCCCTCGCTCTTTTGTTGTCTGTCTTTGGAAATCACTGAATTGCCATTAGAGTGACAGCATCTTTGTGTCACCCCTCCTTCCTCTCCCCTCGCCTTGACTACAGAATGTCGGCTGCTGCAACCTGCTGGGCCTCCCCTAGCCCTGGTGATATTTTTCAGACATTCTCACGATTATAACACTATCCCACAAGTAAGCTACCAAAACTTATACGATTTGTTTCCCTTCCTCTATTGATTTGAACTTCCTAGTGGAACCCCAATATCAAATCTGTGTACCCTTTTGACCTTGAAGCCAACTCTAGCAGTGACTCTTACACTCATATAAAATAGCCCTACATTCACAACAAACGTTTCTTGGTTGTTTCCTGAGTCATGTCTCTGAAGCCTTGAAAATCACCTGGTCTGAGCCTGGCACGGTGGCCTAGCGGCTAAACTCCTCGCCTTGAACGCTCTGGGATCCCATATGGATGCCGGTTCTAATCCCGGCAGCTCCACTTCCCATCCAGCTCCCTGCTTGAGGCCTGAGAAAGCAGTCAAGGCTGGCCCAGTGCTTTGGGATCCTACAACCGTATGAGAAACCTGGAGGAGGTTCCTGGCTCCTGGCTTCGGATCGGCACAGCACCAGCCATTGCACTCACTTGGGGAATGATTCATCGGATGGAAGATCTTCCTCTCTATCTCTCCTCCTCTCTGTATATTTGATTTTGTAGTAAAAATAAATAAATCTTTAAAAAAAATCACCTGGTCCTTTTTATGAGTAGCTCTTTGGTCATATTTCAGGTCTGCCATCATTGAATCGTAACTTGCCTATTATCAGTTTTCTGTGAAAAGGAATCATTTTCTTCTGTCCTGTTACTCTGTTTCAGCTACTCCTCCCTCCAAAAAAAAGAAAAAAATGATCAAAGAAACATCGATTTTCAAGACTCTTGAATATAAGGTTACAAGATCAACATAGCCATGTTTTGCTCAGCTATGAAAATCTCAGATCAGGAATTTGTTTTTCATATATTTGAATTAAATTCCCTAAAGTAATAAGACATATTCTGGCACCCATCATTGCCTTCTGTGTACCCACCCTGTCTATTCTGCACACAAAACCCAATTGCTCAACTCTGAGTCACAACTGAACTGTTCGCTACATCAACATCAAAGGTATTGCAAGCCAGAGAGACCCTGCAACCAGGCACACAATCCTCAGAAAACAAAATAATGTTAAAAAAAAAGGCAGATAAAACTAAAAGATAATACTTTGAAAAGCTTAAGAAGCTGCAGAAAGCATTGGCAAGCCAATTAAGTAAAAAAAAAAAATAGTGTGTCGGGGGGAATGTTCATCAACAGGGCAAATAAAAATTATAATATTCTCATTCAAAAGTGATAATATAGAAATGAAAGTATATGAGCCAGAATATACACAGAAAGGTGGATTTTGGAAAACTGATGTTTACTGAAAAAAAGTATAAACCCAAAAAACATAATTCACAAAACACAAAATAATAAACATTTTATTCTTTGCAAACCAAGGATATTATTATACAGGTACTTATACAAGAAGACATGAAATGTGTTTTCGCAAAAATTTATTGACATTTCAATGTAAAAATAATAACAGACTATTGACCTTTATAACACAAGCCTAATAATAGAATGGAGTGGATAGGTTAGAGCTCACATTTTGCTTAGTTAAAATTCAAAATTGATGTTCTTGATTCACAAAAGTTGAGTTCAACTATGTATCTGTTACAACTGATCTGATGAAATTGCATGAGCGTTATCTTTGAAGCTGTGTTATATACATGTGATTATATTGCAGATCAGTTACCTCTTTAAAATTAGGTACAAGTTCGTCTCTAGCTTTTAGAAATACGCATATTAGATTTTTTTCTCCTTAACGAATCTTAATATTGGCATCTGACATCAAGGCCCTTCTACAGAAGTTCTTCAGATTTTCTGCGTCTATTGTTTTTAAGATTTTTTTTTTTTTTAATCAGCTATACAGAGGAGGGACAGAGTCGAAAATCTTCTGTCAGGGGTGTTGTGGATTTTCACAGAGGTGATCTCAGAATTTCTACACAGCACATTTGAGTCAAATATAACATGAGGGTCATGATGCAGAGTGAGCAGGGAAATTTCATGCCTTGTCCTCACAGAATTAACACTTTGGAGGAGGCCTGGAACGATGGCTCAATTGACTAATCGTCCCCTTCGCAAGCGCTGGGATCCCATAGGTTACTGGTTCACGTCCACTGCTCCACTCCCATCCAGCTCCCTGCTTGTGGCCTGGGAAAGCAGAAGAGCATGGCCCAAAGCCTTGGGACCCTGCACCTGCGTGGGAAACCCAGAAGAATTCCTAGTTTTGAATCGGCTCAACTCTGGCCATTGAGGCCATTTGGGGAGTGAACCAGCAGATGAAAGATCTGTCTTTCCTTCTCTCTCTATAATCTACCTTTCAAACTAATACACAAATATGTCCTTAAATTTTTTTTTTTTTGGATGAGAGAGGGACACTAATCTCTCTGGCAAAAATTATAAATCACCATCACTTATTTGTGAATAAAGCACAAGATGCTAGAAAAAGGTGTAGCAAGAGAACTTAGTAGGTCCACAGATTTGAAGAAACACTTCCCATAGGAAGTGACACCTGAGCGGATATCTGAGGCATAACGAAGGAAAACCAGACAAAATGGGAGCCCACAGGAACTCCCAGCAGAAGGGAAAACACATCGACCTTGACGCACAGCTGCATCTCCCTATGACCATTTAGTTGCCTCTAGATGTTGCCACGCACAAACGGAACTTCACACTGAGCAGCAGTAACTTGCTGCTCCACGTGTTTTGGTGTGAAAGGCCTGTCCTTCAGGAGCGTGCCACAGCCTCACTCAGGAGGGAAACCGAGGCATTCGTTACTTTCTAAAAGGATGGGATTGGCAACGGGTTGATGCGGAGAAAGAGCAGATCCGAATTCGTTCCAAGAGTCTTTCACGCTAAAGGAGAAAATACAGACTTTTGGCTGTCGTGTGGACCAGTTTGAAATCAGGTTGATGCATCAATGTCTTAGCAAATTAGACACCCCAGCTGGAAGTTCCTGTTAAACACACAGAAATTCCAACCTAAACGTTCTAGAAACAGGTTCCAACCTTGTATCCTTCTAGCAAGTCCTCTAAGGTAGAATTTGACCTTATCCGCTGCCCCAAATCCTCTGGCCCATAGCTCCCCTCACATGAAATGGACGAACATGGGTTATTTCCTCCAATTCCCCGCCCCCAAGCATGTAAGTTTCCTCTGCCTGATGGGAAACTTTTTTTTTTTCCCTCTGTCTTTCAACAAAATGGGGCTGTAAATATTTTTTCACTTTTCCTAAGTTTTATTGTGTGACAGAGGGCTACTTATAAATCAGGAGCTGTTTTCTCATCCTTGCACTGCTGAATCCTGGGAACCCCGAATGAGGTCCTAACTGTGGGTTTTAGGATCCCAGCCAGCGCCGCAGAGCCAAGCATGGCCTATTCTGCGCCTGATTGATTTAAAACACCTTTCTCACTAGGTCAGACCACTGCTGGGCTCACTGGGTGACAAAGCCCTTCTCGCTGCCCTTCCTTTAAGAGATCTCCACCAGACAAAGTCGAGACGGTTTCATTAAAATACACATTAACTAGAGTTAATGGCTCTCTGGTTTCCACCTCATAAAGCTCTCATCCCATGTCTCACAGGTCATGCCCATCCTGAACTGGAACACTGCACCTGTTCCCATGTGGAGAGACCAGCACACTCTCATCCCTTATTTTCACATAACCAACCAAGTACTAAGGAGATTGAAATCCATGTGATTGGTTACCTGCCTCCCCAGAACACAGGAGCATCCATGTGAAGAATGCCGAGGCAACCAGGACTCTAGCAGGTTCCTAACCAAATGCTGTCCATCTTCCCTTCCACGCAGTCCCGCAGCTGCCTGGGCTGCTCCCTGCAGAGGCCTTGGGGGCCGGTGAGCAGGACACCCAAGGACCTTGGCTCCTTGGAGGTCACAGCCCTCTACATTCCTTG